CTAAATAATTTATTCATTTCCATGTGAATGTTCAGTTTATACATTAATTATGAACTAATAGCAAGACCCTAATTCATATTTATAATACATAAGCTATTTGTTTAATTTTCCATCCAAGTTTTAAAATATAGTATCACTTTATCTATCTCATCTTTTCTTATTTACCACAATCGCCCACACACCACACCTCAGTCCATTCACTCGGCATGCCCACACTTCCCAACACACCCACAAACACAAGAACGGCCACCGCATCACACCCCCACCCAGACCCCGTTGAGGGTCACAGGCGGAGTCGCCCCCCGTCAGAAGTCTTTGCTGGCGAGGGTATATTATCAAATATAGTATCAATTTATCTATCTCCTCCTTTCTTATTTATGTTTAGCAAGGTATTTATAATTTCCTTAAATTTATCCATTCAATCTTATCGACTCTAGTTTCTCAGGTTAGCACAAGGCCACCTGGTGTTATTATCTCAACCTCAACTAATATCAACTAATACCTATACATTTCACTAATTTAACAACTATTTTCGAACTTTCCTCTTGAAGTTTAATTGTTTAATACATTTATGGGTTGTTTACATCTCGTGAATTATCTGAAAGTTTAAATTTACATATCGAGTCTCTTAAATTCTGATTTGTCACAACTCATTATAGTCTATAGTACTAAAAATTTCGGTTCTTAAGGTATCTATCTCTAAGTTTTATTGATTTGTATCTCTTATTCTTCAGAAATTTCTGCCTCAATAGATTCATTTATACTAATAGCCTACAATACTAACTATCTCATATGAATTTCATCGAATGTGTCTACTAACTAAGGATTTTTGAGTAATTTAAGAGTCCTCATTTATTCATACTTCCACTATACATTGTTTCACCGTTATAAATTATTAGATTAATTGTTTATTCAAAATTCGACTAATGAGTTGACAACTACAGCCTAGGTTGACCATCTGACCGCTGAACCCATCCTAATGGGTAACTGACTATTATAAAAACTTTCAAAAATTTTTCCCTTTCACTTTAAAAACCATCGGCATGTACTTCAACACAAAACCTTGAAATTCCTTTTAAAATAGAAATTTGCATTTCACTTTTATTTTTAAACCCAATCTCAATCCGTGGTATAAAAAATATTTTTTATAAAGTTTGAAAATCAACACTGCATCTGTATTTTCCTAAAACCTTTTTTGGTATTTAACAAAATGAATTGTCTATCTCCACGAGAACAATGCCTAAATCTTTAGTTCCAGTCCTAACTGTTACATATTTCAATCCTAATGAATCCTCCTTAAACCAAGAATATTCTAATCTCCATCATGTACTCATTCCTTTTCGCTATTACTAGTTCTCATTAGATTGGTCGCATCACCGCTTAATTTCCCAAAAGTTTATTTTTCATTAGTTGATTTATTTTTATATTTAATATTTAATATTTATATTAATTATTAATTATTTTATCTTTTTATTTAATTTCGTTACTTATTTTTATAATCATTTTATATATATATTACTTTATATTATATTTCTTACATCATGATTTTTAACTTCTTTTCCCAATTTGTTTCTAAATTATTTATTTCTAGTATTTACAGTAGAAGTAAATTAATGATCATCATTGGCTTTTTCTATTATTTAACATCCCCACTAGTTCTATCCAAGTTTTTAGTTGTTTATTCATTTTTATCTTCTTTTATCATTCATGTCTTCCTTAGTGGTACCCCAACCTCATTTAAGTCCCTATTCCCTGAAAGAGTTTTATAATCTGGGTACATGAATTCTATGCGGTGAAAACTTTATTCTACACAAAAATTTTAAATTCCGTCGTCAGGTCATGTATTTCCTTGAATTTCTTATTAAAATTTTTTTTTTTTTTCTCTACTCCATCATTATGAAGTTTCTTTGAACCTTTATTCTCTTTCCAAATTTATTAAACTTTTTATTTTATTTTATTTTTATAATTTAGCACTCGATCTAATTTGTACTTAATTCTTTAAGCAGGTTTTATACACGTTTCTTTATCATTACCCTTAAGATTAATAAATGGGTATTAGTCCTGTTCTACATAAACTCTCTACTAGATTCATCCAATTTCCTTAATTTATTTAAGCTTCCTAAGCATCCACGTTCCTTTCCCACATTCATTTCCCATTAAATTCAATCCATCTTCTACCACCTTCATTTATTATAATAGATTATGACTTAGTCTAGCCCTTTAAGCATCCTACCAGCTGTCTAGGATCTTAATTTATTAATATGCTAACTACACTTACTCCCAATACTTTTCACCTTATAAAAATTTAGATTATACCCAAACTATCCTTAGTTTACACATTAGTTTTCCATAAGTCTAATTTATCGATTCAAATTAAATTGCTCATTTTATTATAAAAGATTCATAATTATTTCATGATTTTAATAATTTCTTCTATTAACTATTAGTCAATCTTTTTCATATTAATCAAATTTTAAATTCAAACTTTTGCCCAATTATTTACTAACTACTTTTAATTCTATATTAAAACACCCAAAATTTTACCCTTCATATGCAAAGGAAGTTTTACCCGCTTCTTTATTATATTTAGTTATTCTGTCTCACCTCAATATGACCTACTCAGTTATCATTATTTTCTTCACATTTAATCACATACTTATGTACCTTTGTCTTTTATTTTAATTTAATTGCTCTATTTAAATTCTATACGTCGAGATTCACCTTAATCAATACCTTTTATTGTACTTAGACACAAATTATTGTTTCCACGTCTAACTCTATTTAATTTTTTTTTCCAATAAGTCTCTATCCTCCTTAATGTTATACTTAAGTAAGTTACAAATTTTCTCTTTACATCCTTAAGTTTCGCTTGGTTAATGGAGGATTTCTTGTCTAGTATGATTATTTGTCCTAAATCCTCCTTTTTCTAACCCTTAATTTAATTTAAATTACAATTTCCACTTTTTATTCCCTAACCGTAACATTTCTAGAATTTAATCTATATCTTAATTGAAATTTTAAAATCTATATTCTTAATTGAAAAAAAAAAATTTTAATTCAAAATTCCAATATTCTATACCATTTTTTATATGAATTTATCAATATTGATTTCTAATTAGACCTAATTTAGGTCCCTCGGATAAGACAATATTGAATAAAATACAATTCAAACATGCAAACATTGTAAATAATTTAAATCAAAATCTCAGATAAATTTTTTGACATGCCCGACAAAACAATAAAACCAAACAATTAATTGCAACTTCAAATACAATTTCCATAAGCAAATAATAAAACATGTTTCTCAGAATCAAATAGTTTCAAATAAATTTACTTTTCTTATTGGTTTTTAAAACTCCGAATTCTTTTTCTAAATAATTTCAAAAATAATTTTTTTTTTTTTTTTTTTTTTTTGAAGCAGTGTCTCTTGGTCGAATCATGGTGTAATGGGTGATCTAGGCATTACACAAATTTTTCCCAACTGATCTTCTGCTTCAAAATAGATGGAGGGATTTAGCAAAACTCGAAATGTTTAATTTTATAACGTCGAGTTACGCCGGAACCTTTTTATGTTTACTAGTACTTATATACACTTTAATTCTCATGCCCTAAGTTTCATAATAGATTTCCTTCAATCCTCGTGCACGATGCGTCAACCGGCACTAAAATGGGAATTCAATCCAGACTACACCTCCTTTGCTTGGTTTTTTACGGCAGATCCCAACATAGGGAGCTCTCTATTTAATTTCCTATGTTCCCCAATTGATTCCTAAGGCCCGACTTTATGCCCTCTGATCACCAACTTTGTCACGACCATTTCCCATGGACCGGACGGCACTAGGACCTGGGTGGGCTTATAAGGCCCCGAAGCCGTAGTAAGCCTACATTATTTAAATCTCACTTTCTATTCATAATTATGGAATTCAGGCCCATTAAATTAACTTATTATACATATACATCCAAAATGCAGTTCATATATTTAATATGGACTTTTACTATTTATTTACAACCCAACTGGAATACAATTGCGGAACTCTGCCTTTACATTCACATCGTTATTTCTATCATTAACAATCTTCTATAATACGTGTTTCAACTCCATAGGGCTTTCCCTTCTTTCTATTACTTGGAAAAAAAAAGTAGGCAGGGATGAGCGCCAAACTCAATGAGTGGGGTTAGATAACCCTCTCACCCCACACAATCACGCAAATGCTAAAATATTTTAATTTGGTCACTCGTTTAGTTATATGATCATGCAGTTTGTCAAGTTTTGTCACACAAATTGGCAATACAGACAGCAATCAAAATTATTATCAACTTCATATAATCGCAATCAACGTGGAAATTAGTGCCAATTGGCGACCACCTGAATCCCCAGCGAGCCGTCCTCACACAAGGCTCCGCCCCTCTCATCATGTGCACCAACAATGGGTGCAGGGAGCGATCCCCATACGGCCAACTGGTCCTACTCCTCACTGACAAGTCCCTCTATTGTTTTTTTCCATTCTCTCTTTTTCTTTTCATACCAACAGGAGCACCCGGTGGTCTCCATCCAATCTAGATCATCACAGTTGCTTCACAACAGGAGGCCACCCTGCGGGCTACAATCAAAATCTAGATTATCAGGGTGCGGCAACAACAAGAAGCCCATCCTGTGGATTTTCCATATAATCCATAACTTCATCAGGTGCACATGGTGGGCGCGATCTCGCCATTTTTTTCCCGGCCGACGTCCCCAAATTCATATCATATCATTATTCAGGATCCATATCAACAGACCGCCTCCAAACCAGTGGTGGTCCAACGTCATCCTATTCACACAAACAAGGCACAGTTCATCCCAATTCCACACAAGCAAAGCACAGCAATATCACATCACAGCGAATCAAGCAATACAAATAGTGCAGCACGATATGGCAATTCAACAAAATAATGCATGATAACATTTAGCCGTGAATGCATGAATGCAGGTGGATGATACTAGTTATCTAACACTACTCACAGTTCTTTATTGTCCTTTAAAAGGACTGCCTTTTTTAGCCACATGCTTCCAGCTTTTGTCCTCGCATTTTGTATTTTATAAGCCTTTAAAATAAACAAGAAATTTCTAAATAAGAATTTTAATTCAAAAACTTCTTATATTCACATTCGTTTATTATTTTGGCTACCGTCATTTAATTCACTTGTTATATATGCATTATATATTAGGTTCCTCATTTATATAAATAAACTATTCTCATTTATAACCTTCAGATAAAAATCTCTAATTATATCCGTGAGAAATATTATATAATGATAAATTCCTAATATTGTATAATATTTCTTAATACTGCCTCAAATTTTCCGTCGCACTTAAACTTCTTAAGAATAACTAATTTAAATTCTTTATAAGTGTTTTATTAAAAATGTCGACAGCATTTTTCCTCCTAATAAACTGGACTATCCAATTTTTTTTCAAATTTTCACAAATCCACACACACAGCCCATCCATCGGGAATTCAATAAATACCACTAATCCGTCCGCCATATCCATCATTTATTCGGTGCCACTCTAATTCACATAATTCCATTAATAATATAGTTTGTTCCTATAACTAATTTTTATTTGTTAATAAAATTCCTAAATTTATATTAGCTAGGAATAATATTTTTTTTTTTGTACACCTTAATAGTTATAATAATATTCATAAAATCTATTTAAATAATATTTAATTAATTTTAACTTAAAACTTAATTAAGTTCATTATTAATTAATTCAGAAATTTATTCAAAATTGCGGATTAAGCTTTAGAGTGTACTGATTTAAATCAAAATAATCATTTCCGTGTTCCGCACGAAGGGAGAGCAATTTGTTCCTTGAAGTCTCGCGGAGTCTCGCCGGCCCGGTCGCCGGACCGCGCCGCGCCCACCGTGCACGGTGGCCGAAAATTTAACCTCACCAAAAATTGACAAACCAATACAATCATTTCTATTCGTTTCGAATGAGAGGATCACTAATATGTGTTCAAATCAAGGTGGGGTCTGAACCAGTGGCGGAATTGGCGGAAAGGTTTCGGTGATACCATTTGGTTTTCCGATTTCCGGCTATTACAGTCGACCAGGAGGCCATCAATTGAAAGAAAGAAGAGAGGAGTCATTTGGTACTTATACCGCTTGTGTTCCAAGCTTGCCCTGAAACGGGTTGAATTGTCCGGAAAAAGGTGTCCGCAAAAACTTAAAAGCTCTTTCCCTTCAAAAATAGACACATTCAGTTCAAATCTAAGAGCTGTATAATCTTCTTCCTAACGGAGTAGATATTTTTCAGAGTAATTCATTTGCTGAATTTGGTGGCCGGAAGGAAGGAGATCGAAGGTCTTCCTTGCGTTGAGTAGATGTTTTTAGAGTATTCATTTGCCGGATTTGGTGGCCGGAGGACGGAGATCGAAGGAGAGGAAGAGAGGGTCACGCAGAGAAGAAGAAGAAGAAGAGAAGGAAAGAAAAGAAAGAAAGAAGAATCGTGCAGCTTCTAGACCATTCCGGTTCGATTCAAACCGGTTTGGTCTAATTCAATGATTCGGCTCGATTTTTGCTCGGTTTGCAAGTTTTTCATTTGGTTTTCAGATTATTCGTGTGGTTTTCGAAAAATCAATTTGATTTTCGAGTCTGGTTTAATTTATTTTGATTATTTTAGTTAGGTTCTATAACATTTCTTCAATTTACTTAATGTTAATATTAATAATCATAATATTCGATTTTTTTAAGATAAATTTCGATAATGTGTTTTGGGCTTGAGCCCAACTTCGTAAACTTGGGCTTGAATTGAGGCAATTTTATACTTGCAGTCCACATGATTAAAATTTTTGATTTTTGATTTAATAAAAATTCAAAAGTTTCGAAAATAAAAATTCGGGGTATTACAATCTCCCCCCCTTATTTTATACTTGCAGTCCACATGATTAAAATTTCTGATTTTTGATTTAATAAAAATTCAAAAGTTTCGAAAATAAAAATTCGGGGTATTACAATATGTGACTAAATTTTGGTTATATTTGATTATTCTTTGATTTTGCAAATAAATTAATTACGCAAAAATATCAAGATAAAGTAAGTTTCGAAAAAAATAATATATAATTCATCAAGATCTTTTTCAAGCGGAAAGATCTTATTAATTAATTAATTAATTATGGTGACAATACAGAAAATGGGTTTGTTAGTTAATGGATTTGTACCAGCTGAAAATTCTCCAAAGTTAGGCAAATGAGAGCATAACAAGTTCAAAGCCAACCACTAGAAAATTTTACTTTAGATGTAAACTAATATTTTTTTTTTTACCAATTTATACATATAATCATAATTAAAGATTGCATTAAAAAAAAAATCAATAGATTTGCTTTCTATTGCAATAAGAAAATATAGACACCTCCACCACTTGACAGGATTGCCTTTTTATGGTTGAAATGTACAGGTTAATTAGTATTTTCTACCTCTTTCATATTAGGGATTTTTCTTGTATTTTAGGTGAAATTTCCTTTTGGTAGGAGGATAATCCACATCTTCTCACTATATAATTGATATCTATACATACACACACATATACTTCTTTTTATTTTAATGTATTAATTTTATTTTTTATCAATTAAGTGTTTGAATAAATATTTTTTTTAATTAAATCCATTTGATAGAAAATTTTTTATTGAAATTTGTAATAGATATATAATTTATCTAAATAAAAATAATACAAGTAAATATCAATTTATTATTTTATTTCTCTTATATTTTTAGAATGGAAATCTAAAATTTATTAAAATTTTCTTTCTATTCAAAGAGAAAATCAATGAAGACAAGAGAAAATTTAATAAAATGAAAAGTATAATCATCTAGAGAAATAAATGAAGTTTAAAACAATGCGAATTAGTTCTATTTGACATTTCAATAAAAAATTTAAACCAAATACAGATACATTTTAACAGCTAACAGCTATTAAATCAGATAATTTTATCGAATTAACCTGTATAACTAATTAATATGATATTTAAAAATTAACAATGTGATATGATATCCCAAAGATAAATTAATGGCATTTGACATGTTGGTTCTATAATGCATGTCAATCAAAATTCACCAGCAAACAAAAGTTTTTAAAGCAACAATCTTTAGGTCTTACAATAATGGTTATGTCTCCTTCTCTCTCTGGAAATGGTGATTTGTGAAGTTGTAAATAGTAACAGTAAATACTATTTTTTTCTCCATCTCTCTCATAGTGATATTGAAATATTTTTTTTCTCCATCTCGTTGAATATGTCGCAGATTGATTATAAATCCATCGGTGAATATTAAATTTCTGTTATTTTAACATTAATCGTAAGAGATCGTAACATTATCGCAGTTTTGCAATCAAAATAGGACGGCCACAAAAGTCGGTTGCAAAATTGCGTTTTTTTTATATTATTAATAATATCTACCACAGTAGAGAGGCATTCACATAATGCATACAATATTTCAATGTCCAACAAATTTTATTTCATTTTATAATGATTTGTGTTTATTAACAAATATTATGTATACTAAAAAAAAAAAAAACTAGTGATAAAAATAGATATGGTCGAGTTTAGAATTGAAGTCCCGAAAGCGCAAGAATTCATGTAAATTCAAAAATTAAAATATTTTTTCATTTTAAATTACCAGTTATCCAAACCTATCTTATCCTTTACTATAATCAAAACAATAAATTTTTTTATTTAAAAAAAATATAGATAATATACATCCTTTAACTATAAAATTTTCAGCTGGGCAATCCATAATATTATTTTAGCCTCCTAATAATATTTATTTATCATTTACGAGTTCTTGAAATAAAATATTTATTTATATCAATATTTTTATATCACATTAAGCCTACCGTGATTTGTCAATGTTAATGATCAAAGGATAAATCAAAAAGGCCATGGGCATTTGCGGATGTGACAACCATGGAAAATTCTCCAAATTGCCACGTCATCTGACAACCTCATCGAAAATAAAAATTCTGAGTCACAATCCCTCACCTACTTCTTTAATGATCAAGGTTAAAATTAAAATACTAATTAAAAAACATAAAGGAGAAAATAAAACTAAAGGAAGAAGAAACAACTTATTAGTTTTAATTTAAATAATTTTCAAAATTGAACAATGTAAACAAATATTCGTCATTCAAAAATGTGATAATGATAAATTACTGATTTATATATACATAATAATACTAATAATGATAAAAATGGATGGCTTAAGAAATACAAATAGTTAAACTTTGACTTTTTTATTATTATATTTAAATGACGATTTAGAAAATTAAAATAATATTAATTATTTTGTTTCAATTTTATCATTATTTAGATATCTGTATTAAATTTTATTTTAAGTAAATGAGCATTAATTAAAGGACAATTTAGTCAATTGCCTTTATTTTTTGAGAAGAAAAAATTATAATTTTATTCCGATATTTTGTTATAATACATAGCATTGCTTTTGTATTTTTAGAAATTCTTTGTTACATTATTATATACTTTAGTCAATTTTTGTAAAAAAAAAAAAGTTATTTTTTGAAAATTAACTAATCTATGGGTGTATTTACTAAGTACAAGGGATATGAAATTTGAGGGGATAAATAATTATTTTTTCTTAGTAAAAACTACCAACAAGTAAAACCAAAAAAAGAAAATTAAAAAAAGAAAACAGATCTTTCTATTTCGACAATCTAAATATGGTAAAGTTTTTACTTTCTACCTTTTACGCGGCAGTAAAAATTGCAGACTACATTCACGCCTTAATTGGAGGCTCTCTTTTTTCTCTCTCGTACATTTCAGCTGCTTTTAAAACGTTAGCCTCTCCCTCTCTCTCTCCCTCCCTGTGATTTCCCGACTAGTTTCCAGGCCATTCTCGCCGGAATCTCGTCGGGAAGCATATTTCTCTAGCTAATCTTTCTTTTCTATACTTACTTTTTCTTTTACGCTTAAGTCATTATTATACAAGTGACCACAATTTTTTCTTTTTCTTTAAGAGATTTTTCGATACAAGTTTATTCTGAAATAAGGTTTTTTTGTCACGATTTAGCAAAGATCATTGCTCATTATTTCTGGGTTTTTGGTTTGGATATTCTGTTGCAGTTGTTTTGGAGTTGTATGATAAGGTGACAAGATTAGGTGATTTTGGAGATTAAAGTAACAAGAACATGAAGCTGTTGGTTTTACTTTCATTATTTTAATTGCAAAGTTTATATAATCAAGGAAAGGTTTTATAGTTTTAAGGCTTTCTTGATTATCTTAATCAAGTTTAAAGAATCTCATTGTCTCTTTTAGAGATGGGCTTATTAAATACTTTTTAGCTTCCTTAAATTTTGTTGAATCTTGCATCTGTTCTTTAAGGGGTTTGTTTAAGTGGGTTTGGTGAATTGGAGCGAAAGAGAAAAGGAAAATGTTAAAAATGTTGAAGACGGAGAACTCTGTTAAAGAGTGGGAGGTGAAAGTGAAGCTCTTGGGAGATGGAAAGGTTGATAAGTTGAAGAATTCAATGGTTTCAAGGTCTCCAATGAAACTATGGATTTTAAGGGCAATTACAACTGCTTTGTTATGGACTTGTGTAGTTCAGTTAATGGCTTTGGGAGAGATGTGGGGGCCAAGATTGTTAAAGGGTTGGCCTTCTTGTTTTAGTCAATCTGATGTCCACCTATCTTCTATTCCTCCCAAAGTTGTTCTTCCTCCAAAGAGTAAGTTCAAGATTCTCTTTATTCATTTTGTTACTGGTTATTTTTTTTCAGGAATAGAGTCTTTGACATTAATTTAGGTGGACTCATTCTATGTGATAAAAATTTGCCATATATGCTAAATTCTTTTAATTTGTCTTCATCTTACATTAGAGTAATATGATTATCTTGGTTTCTTATAAACTTTTAATATTCTTTTTTTTATTATTATTATATTTAAGTAAATTGTTTGTGTTATATGTTTTTTCCCTTTCTGTTTGATGGAAGTATGAAATTCTGGTTTTATAAGTTCTTAATTTGGTAATTGGCTTGCAGGGGTTTATAAGAATAATGGGTATCTTATGGTTTCCTGCAATGGAGGACTCAACCAAATGAGAGCAGCAGTGAGTTTCTACCTACTCTAACCAAATACCATTAGCAATATGAAATTGCTTTGATTCTCTGTGGTCTTATCTTGTTTTCTGTCTCTATGTTCCATTAATTATTACTTCTGTATTTATCATGCAGATATGTGATATGGTTACCATTGCTAGATATCTAAATGTAACTCTTATTGTCCCGGAGTTGGATAAAACCTCATTTTGGAATGACCCAAGGTATGCTACTTTATCTATAGTCTCATCAACTGTTCCCAATTCAACCTAAAAGTTTCTTCAATTAATTACCTGATCATTTCTTTATGAGGCAGTGAGTTTCAAGACATATTTGATGTTAATCATTTCATCACTTCCTTGAAAGATGAGGTTCGTATATTGAAAGAGCTACCGCCTAGAATCAAACGAAGAGTTGAATTGGGGATGTTCTACTCACTGCCGCCAGTTAGTTGGTCAAATTTATCTTACTACCTACATCAGGTTAGTTTGCTATAATTATAAAGAAACCATTGGCCTTTCCATTTCCCTTTTGCTTATGACATATTTTTGGACTAATGCGACTAATTTTCCGAAGTGTTTGCCAACAGATTCTTCCTCTGGTGCAAAAGTACAAAGTAGTCCATTTGAATAAAACTGATTCTCGTCTTGCTAACAATGGACTACCTCTTGAAATTCAAAAGTTGCGTTGCCGTGTAAATTTTAATGCTCTGAGATTTACACCACAGATAGAGGAGTTGGGTAGAAGGGTGGTTAGAATGTTGAGGGAGAAAGGCCCCTTCCTTGTCCTTCATCTTCGATATGAAATGGATATGTTGGCGTTTTCCGGCTGCACTCAAGGTTGCAACAGTGAGGAGGTTGAGGAACTGACCAGAATGAGGTAATTCTCTCTTTATTACAAACTTTGAATAATATGAACCAATTTGAAGTATAATTAACCGTAGAGTTTTTTTTTACATTGTTAGATATGCTTACCCCTGGTGGAAGGAAAAAGTTATAAATTCTGAAATGAAGAGGAAAGAAGGTTGGTGTCCTTTGACGCCTGAGGAAACTGCTCTTGTATTAAGCGCACTGGGAATTGATCATAATATTCAAATTTATATTGCTGCTGGAGAAATATATGGTGGAGAAAAAAGAATGAAGACTTTGGCAGCAACCTTCCCAAATGTGGTAGGTAGAATATAACAGCATACTTTTTACATTCGCATGTGACTTGAAAATAGCATGTGACTTGAAAATAACATACCGATATGAAGCAGGTTAGGAAAGAGACTCTGCTGGAATCATCAGATTTGAAGTTTTTCCAAAACCACTCATCCCAAATGGCAGCATTGGATTATCTTGTGTCACTGGAGGGTGACATATTTGTTCCTACATATGATGGCAATATGGCTAAAGTAGTGGAAGGCCATCGCAGGTAATGCATTGCATATTTGGATTGTATTTGATTTACATTCTCAACTGATTTTGCTTCTTATATCAGGATTTAGTTATTGCTATTAAAAATGAACCATATAAAACAAGTTTCTGTTGTGATCACCAACCTTGCAAAAGCATAGATTTCCCACCCATTATTTTGGAATAAACTGCAAAATGGTGATATTATTGTGGTTAAATTATTTAGTTCTTTCAAGTTGCTTATAAAAATTGAAATGTCAGTCTGAGATGGTGTTTCTTGTGTGTCATTGACTTTTAGATTTTTAGGCTTCAAAAAGACAATCTCATTGGACAGAAAGCTTCTAGTTGGTTTAATAGATCAATACAACAAGGGATCATTGAGTTGGGATGAATTCTCTACCACTCTAAAGCAAGTTCATGCAGATCGAATGGGGAATCCGAAGACAAGAGTTGTCATACCAGATAAACCAAAGGAAGAAGATTATTTCTATGCAAATCCACACGAGTGTTTGCAACTGTTAGATGAAACATGGAGTAGCACATGATCTTAGTCATGCCAACAAGATGGTCATCCTTGTACTCAATTCCTATATGCATATATCGAAGAAAAATGGCCTAATTTATCACATGGAGGCTTAGGCACGGAGGATTTCATTCTGTTTGTCAAGCTAAACTTGAAAGAGCTAACTGCCTCAAGCCTGGCTCTTCTTCGCAGCATGACCAAAAGTATTTATAGTTATTTTTTAATAACCAGAATGTGTATAGTGAAAAAAGGCGCAATTATCGATGCTAATATCCAGTTACCTGGATTGTAAAGAAGGATAATGGAAAATTTTCCCCATGGGGATTTTGAGACGTATTGTGCATTTCTTCTCTATAATTTTTCAGCATCAAACGCGTAATGACTTCTTTCTGTTTCTCTGCTTTCAGTTGAATATGGGATGTAAATTGAAATGGTAACCACAAAATAGGTGTATCCTTTCATAGCTAAACATAGCATTCACAAAATAGGCAATTGAGATTAACCCAGAAACCAAGAATTAACTTGATAATTTTGCATACATAAAAATGCAGCCAAGCTACATCTTGAGACTTCATATATTATTTAGATGCCATAGTTGTTGAACCTTCAAGAACAATAGGCTAGTGGTTTGGTAATAAAATTCTAATGAGTGCATAATCGTTCCAAGTGGGTTAGGAGACGAAGAACATGTATTTCCTTCCTACAGTATTTAGTAAATCACTAAATGCGACAACTTATTTTATAACGTAAAAGGTATTAAAAGTATTCAGTGCACTTAACACCATTCCATAATCTACATTAAAAAATTGGGTTACACATAATGGTGCAGTTTAAAACAATAGCTCAATCTTTACTCAAAAGACTTGAGAATTTCTATTTTCTTTTAAGTCACAACTCTTATTCCCAAGAAGTTTCAAGCAGGATCACATATCTTTAGGTTTAAGGGAGAGGGAAACTATTCAATAAACTTGTAAAACCAAGACAGAAGCATTTTTTTCTGATTACTCAAAAATAGCGTAAAAAATCTCAGTGGGGTAGGGTTCACCTCCATGCTCAATAAATTCTGCTCCAAGAGAGTTAATGAGCAGTGAAAGATCCAAGAGAGTGCATTTAAGTGATCCAAGAAAATGTTGTTTTAGTGGGTGATCCAAGAAGTGAGTCTTAAGTTTTATCTTAGTACGATAAAGAAAGGTGCAAAGGTCTCACATGGATGGCTCTAATTATATAAAAATAATAGCTTTACTGTTTCCACTTCCACTAGGGATAGTGCCCTTATTTTTCAGGCACTCCAAGAAAACTTAGCTTTCGCACCACACAAGCGTAGCCAGAAGTGGGTTGACTCCCAATTTTTCAAAGATCTAATGACTGCCCATAAAAGAAGAGGGCAAGAGTTGTTGCTAAACTGATTAGGCAATGCACTTGATGAATATAAAATAGAACCCTTCTCTTATGTTAAGCAGCTCCATAATGAGTCTTATATGCTTCATGCTTCAACTAAATCAGTAAATTTTATCCCAATTGCGTCTGTGTTTTGCTTGATCCTTCAACTTGTCCACTCATGACTCATTTCAAATGTGAAAATTTCCATGTCAACAAAAAAGTATTTCTGGGAATTCCCAATATGTTAAAAAACAATAATTAAAATCAGAATGTAACTATATAGCACATTGTCAGTTTTCTATATTCTCTTCCTTTCACATTTCTCTCATTGTGAGTGAATTTCCATCAACTTTAGTCTGTGAGAGAGATGGTCATTAAAACCATAATTTTGAATATCATAATTATACAGAAAATCAAGTTCAACATTTTATTATTGGTTATAATTGGAAATTTATAAATTTGAATTATGAGAATAATAGCCTTTTGCAGTAAAAAAATAAAAATAAAAATAAAATAGAATAAAGGATTTTACTTGCCTAGTATTTGCAAGAGCATCTTACCACATTATACCACATATGAACTTATTGAGAGGTAATCTAACATTAATGATTTTTCTTAAACACTTGAAAAAGGTTAAACCAACCCTAAGTTCTACTATACGGTGGTGGAAAACCCAACACTGTAAAAACCCCGCGCATCAAGGACAGCTAGACTCCAGCAAGTTTCGGTTCCCAACCAAAACCTAATACAAACCCAACCACTTCTTATGAACTACCGGTTCAAGTTCCTATGACGGTGGAACATGGACCGAACCCTTGGTTTGAATTTGAACTTAGGGTTCAGTTTGGAATCAGTTCCAAAAAAAAAAAAAATGGCTTGTAAAAGCAGCTGGAACCAAACTGAAACCATAACCAAGACCACCGATTCTGGTTCTGGTTTCCAAATTAGTGAACCGAAACACGCAGTTGCAGCTGGATTCGAACTGGTGGCCAAGTCTAAGGTCAGCACTAGCCTGCAGAACAGCTCCAAGAACCAAAACTTAAAACAACAGCAGAGAAAGTAAAACTCGGTAGCTGCAAAAACGTGTGCCGCATTGCCATTTCTAAGAAAGCATAACCAAAAGGGCAAGGAGACAAACATCATGCGAGATGGAACCATTGGAGGATATAAAGCAGCTTCTCATTATGTGCATGGAAGCCTCTATATGAGAGCTGCCAGCAAATAAATAAATAACACTTTCAATTTCTATTTTTTTTTTTTCTTCTGCCCAACCAAGGAGATTGCATCCACACAACCAGGCAAATCAAAGAGCATAAACATTTACAATTGATCTGGAGTCAGTTGTCTGTGAACCATAGCATAACGAAAAAGAACATCGCCATTTCCAAAATTGGAACCAAATGAAGGAATCATAAGGTGAAAATGAAACCAGAATACTAGTTTTTTTCTCTTCTTGATCTCTTACGAGCCCGATTAGAGTCTTCCAGCGCTTGATTGTTCAAAAATGGGTTTTCTTGATCCTGGACGAACACAAGTTAAAAGGATAATGAGGATAAAAGAGAAAAAAGAACTGGACTAGCAAGTTTGTATGTCATCAAAGAGAAGGCACCAAACTAAATATCTAAGCAGTCATTCGAGTCATAGCAGCAAAAAAGTCTTTAAATTATTGCTTCAGAATCATACCTTTGAATTTGATGCCACAATATTACTGCCTTGTTTACCAACATCAATTTGCACTGATATGTTTGTCTGAGACAAATCCACACCAGAAGATTGCAGTGCTTGGGTCAGAGTATCCAATATCCTGTTGAACACCACAGTTCCATTCTGTAAGACTGTAACAGTATATATAATGTCCATTTCTATGAGGAGTTTATCATAAGAACGTTATGAGGGGAAAAAAGGTTCTAAGAAGACAATTCATATAAGGTTTTCAATATCTTTTAGGCCTGATCGCAATTCATGTGGTGACCTGGTTTGGTGAAACAAAAATTAGTGCAAAGTTCAATAACCAAGGTATAAATTACTGGACATGAAATTTATGTGGTTAACTAGAATTGGCAATTAAAGTAACAGATTTGCAATGAAATCAGAGCAGATGCTCACCCTTGAGAATATGTACTTGAGATGCTATCTGATCCAGTTTCACCCATTGGCTCCTCTTGTCCATTCACCGTATTGTTTGGGGCATCACACTCAGTAGCACATGGTCGGCCATGCCATTGTTGGGGTTGAAGTTGGAATTCCATATTCTCAGCATCAGAAACAGATTCCTGCACAGGCTGAGTAGTTACACCGCTCTTCCCAACAACAAACATATTCGAGTGCACTTGCACATTGAAAGGCACTGCAGTGGCGCCTAGGTCAGAATCAATTGAGTTATGTACATTTGTGAGTATTGCAGTATTCTCATGAGCAGAACCATTCTTCAATCCTTGAGGATGATCCAATAGAGCTTCTACAGGAGGATGGTGATTTTTCTGTTTCACGAAGAAGATAAACCATTAATAAGGATAATATAAAAGACAATTGTAGAAAGAAATGTTCCCTACAATCACATATAGAAAAGTCACATTGGGATCCATGCCCAAAAGATCATCAATAAAGAATACGCATACAAATGCTTAATCTTGCTGTTTTAAATGCAATAAGCGCACAAATGCCATTGCATAAGCGCTAATTGTAAATAAAAAATAAATAGAAAAGTTTCAGTCAGAAATAGTGCCAAGCACTCAGTTCATTTAAATTAGCACATGCCATTAATATTTGAATGCTTATTGTTTAATAAAGCTATAAACAAGCATGTGTATAAGTTAAAAGTATTGTGTAAATCCCTAATTAATTCCAAGTTTCTGAACTTCATTATGGCCGGATTGTAAAAGCGAGGATGCATCATCAACATTCCAGAAAATGAAATTGAAAGCCAAAGATTTAAAGGAAAAACCTCCATGAAGTGCATAATCATATCCCTCAAAACCTCAGAATATCATCATGAATAGATCATTTATTAGAAAATCTAAAAACCAAGATATCGAGGAACTCAGTTAAACCTCAACCCCGAACATATTTGAACTTAAAATGAGGGATGCAACACCAGTCCTAAAAGGTCATTCATTCAGTACTACCAATGTCGAAGAAATTGATAATTGAACAAATAACAAAAAAATGGAAAAAGAATTATTTGCATTTTTAGAAATTTAGCAAGCTAGCACTCCACACAAAATAGGAAACATGTACATGAAAGCATATAATACTAGTAAGTAAATACTACTGACTCCTTATCAATGAACTTCAGTAACAATTATTTATGTACATGATTTTGAATTATTTTCATTTTCTTCAGATCCAGTAAAACAAAAAGAAATACATTTACTGCTTACAAAAAAAAAAAAAAAAAAAATCATTTTCTTCAGATCCGTCGTCTTTTTGACTTACAAAAAAAAAAAAAAAAAATGTCAACACACTTGGGCAAATTTCTTTAAAAATTTCTGCCCAATTGTTGGAAAAAAAAAAAAAAAAAAAAATGTCACACACTTGGGCATTTCTTTAAAATTCTGCCCAATTGTGTGGAAGTGTTTTTTTTTTAGATGTAGTTTTTAAATGCTAAACAATGATGCAGAATTACATTTAAAATTCCGCAAGTTTCTTCTTTGATTCTTTTTTTACGCTAGGTTGAATTGATGTAACTATCTACCAGAGCAAGGGTTGCTTTATTTGAAATATTCATCAGAGGAAACATAAAAGAAACCACAAATAAGTTCCAATCAACAACAATCGAACAACCTAGTACTGCATCTTCCACATGATAATCCTCTTAACAATCTTACAAACAGATATTCACAGCAAAACTTGGCATATCTTGTTCCCAAGCAAGAGATATTTCCCACACGAACAAAAAATACATATAACTATTTGCCATGTAATGAAGTTTTCAACAAAATTAGTTCAGAAGACTCTCTTAGCATGAAGCAGAATCAACTCACAATACAAAGTGTTACACAAAAGAAATACAAACTACTATGGTATATTTACATACAGACATCATGAATTGAAATATACCCAGGGTGTCAATTTAGTTGGCTCCTGACTCCAACCTTGGTATGGCCCTTCATACATCTGTAACTTTTCCTGTAAAAACTGAATATACTCTATAACCTGCAAATGATTATGCAAATTTTCTTATTCACTCGATCAATTTAAAAAATATATATATCAAGAAGTGTTTTTTCAATTGAACAAGATTTTAGAACCAAAAATCTGAAACATGGTTAGGAGAAATCAAGAGAGTGATTGATTGGCATACCTCTAACAAGAATGAAGCTTTATCCCTTTTCTGATCATTTTGAGGTATGAGATCTCTCAAAATCTGGAACCTGTCTCACAAATCCAGTTGTTCATAGATAAGCAAAAGACCGCTCCAAAGGTATTGATTGTCAAAATGAATCTAACAAAGCAAATAAGAGACTCAAAAGATGACACAATAATTTTCAAATACAAGATTCTCATACCGACAGAACTCATACGTCCTTGTTATGATATTACAGGAAAGAGGAAGAATTAAGTGCTAAAAGATATTCCTACAGTACCTATTCTCCCATATCCATATCCGTCATGAACAAATATTGGCCATGACACCAGCCACAAACCGAGAAAATTTGATAAAAACTCAACTCATGTCCTAAACTACTTGGGCTAGCTGCATGGATCCTCTTTCTCTGCAATGCGCCAACCATTGTGATGCTAAATAATTTTTTACCTCTTCATTACCCATTATTACTTCATGCATACTTCTCCTCTTCTTTAGTCCTATCATTTGAATCCACTCACTTCTTCAACTTCACCACTGCACTGACAATTTTACGTTAGAAATTACCAAAACCAAACCTTGCGTACTCCAAAGGAGATTTGCTTGATCGATATAATCTTCCAAACTTCAATTACACACTACTCAACAAATTGCCCCTATCTTTCTTCTTTTCCTTCCTCCTTTTCTCACTAAAGGAGGACACTAATGTGCAGTAAAGTGATAAAAAATCACAAATTTAAAAGTCTTACAACTAAAAGAAAGCAATTCAAACTAAAGGCTTACCATACCACACATTTTCACATAATTTTTTGCATGTAATTATAAAACAAAGTGAATTATAAATTTAAAATTAAGCTTACCTCTCATTAATCTTGCTCCTCCTACGCTGCTCTGTCTCTGAATGCTTAGACCTATGCGTATTCGCCTTCTGTTCGTTTCCTCTACCATCTACTTTCGTTACTTCCCCTATAAATTCAAAACCAATTTTTTTTTTTTCAAAACAAAAACTAATTTCACTGCTACCAAGTCTTATATATACATATAAAAAGTATATATGCATACCTCTGTAAGAAGAGGAGTCATAACCGTCAGGTTCATCTTCTTCGTCGAGGTGAGACTTAGCCGATTTCACCATAATTCTAAGAAGTTCGATTCTTTTATCTTACAGAGAACGAGAGAAAGAGTAGTTGAAGACTTGATTGGAAATGGAGCTCCGACGAGGACCCGGAGAGGTCCGATGGGTCTGCAAAATTAGAATGAGAGAAGAGAAGAAGCCCTAACGAGAAATTTTTTTTTTTTTTTTTTAAGTCAATATAATAATTGTTTAACATTGTAGGAAATTCGGTATTCTTTTTTCTTTTTAAAAGATAATAGTGTTTGGACAGTGATGGATGCTAATATGCGCCTAGTGGGTTGTCGTTTAAAATGAGCTGCAAAAGTTGGTTAGGTTTCAGCTCAGCTGCCCGCTGCCCGGTGCTGTCCAGCTCTTGAGGTTGTTTATTTTTTTTTTTTTTTAATTAATATTGTTAGACTTATTTATTTATTTTTTTGTGCCTGACTTATTAATATGATATACTGTCAAATTTAATAGATGACAAATTTGTTTTGTACTTTTTTTTTTTATATTTTCCGTTTGTTGGGATATTTGAAATTAAATAAAATATATATTGATAATATCTTATATGTTCTATTCTAATCCAATAATGGTTCTAAATATGCTTTTTTTTTTTTTTTTCAAATATGCATTGCAAATTGCTTCTAGTAGTTTCTAATTTGATTTTTGTAATATATATAACTTTTTGTCCATGATATATTTTTCTTAAAAATAAATTCATACAACCAATATTATCTTTTTCAGGACTATTTATTTTCACTATACCATGATAATAAAAGACTTTCTCGAATTACTTAGAATCATTTAACATGATAATTTATAAACCAAACAAATAAAAATAGAATTTTTCAAAAAATTTATATTTTCATTGGTTTGATATAAGTAAATATTTCCTTTTATTCATAACAATCACTTCAAGTTGAATTTATAAATATTTTGTTTACAAATTTTATAAAATTCTATATCAAACAAGGTCGTAAATTCTATTACTTAATTAAAAAAAAAAAGGAAAAATTTATCTTACATGCAATGTATATCGTAATTAATAAATTATTTTCAACATATATATATGTATATATATTCAGATCAAACTTGAAACATGATTTCCTTTCTTCATGCTGTCCTTTTACAATTACATGACCAAATGCCAAGGTTCAATAGGTAAGAAGTAAGAGCCAAAAAGAGTTGAATCAAGTTCATATTGTCATTACCAACAATGGCATCATGACATATTAGCATGCCAACTCCACTTTAACCGAACCGGACCTTATGAGCAGCGGAGAAATGCTTGGATGCTGCCACCATCGCCGCCTCCGGCCTAAATGGTTTTGTACCCATTGCCTTATTGGACGTGGCGGCACTGCTAGCACTCACTGTCACCGGTTCATCGAAGTACGGAAAAATCAATTTCTTGAAGGGTGAAAACCAACTACCCATTTTCTCCAAACCTGTTGTTATTTAACCAGAACTGAAACTAAATGTATGCGAAATATTTAAGCGAAGTACATCAGTTCTTGCAATGTTGTTCTATAATTATAAAAATGGTAGTCATGTTTATATTTATATAGTATAAAAGGCGTCTTGGATGTCACGCTTATAGTGTCTGGGGGCTTGTAGTTGTCTGGAAACATGCTTACTGAGGCAGAGCAGCTGATCAACTAAACCCTTCTCCAAGCCAACTGTCTTGGCCGTTACGCCTATTTCACCTTATCAAACGGCCTCCAAGTCCTTATCAACGGTATCCACGTTCTTTCTAATAATATTCTCAGAACGTTCTCCAACAAAATTGAATCTATTAATAAGGAAAAACTCCCATCTGAGTCCTTTTCCCTCAAAAGTTATATAATATAGACTTGGTTGGCAAGATAATTTGAACTTTTACTAATATCTAGACTTCCAATTTTAGAAGTAAATAGATAAAAGAAATCTTCCAACTAAAACTAAGATAAATTAAAGATCAAACAAGAAGTGGGTGGCACGCAGGATCTGAAATTCATAATTCTAAAGTTCCCTTCCTGAGACTCAAAATTTAATAATTTCAAACCAGAATTTAGACACCATTATCAGACATTATTCATACTTTCAAAACCAGAATTGAAACGGGGCTCATAAAATTTTCAAATCTGGAAACTGTACCTACAAGGTTATGTGCAAAGTGAACTGAATAGTGGTAACTTGCATTCCATCAAGAAACATGCCACTCTTTATTCAAGCATCGGTGCAGCTATCACACTCGAAAGTATATGTACTTGCATGTGCACAGGCGTGAGCTTGTGTCTGTAATTCGCATATTTATCTATGTATGTAGATCTTGAGCGATGCATTTAGGTAAAGTAGAAAGCCACATCTCCAACAAGAGCAAAAAGAAAAGAATTCATACATGCAATCATGGATTAAACGACTATGTTATTCTGCTTGACTATGTTACACAAATTATAACTGTCAATTATGCCTAGGAAAATAAGAGATTCTCTACAAAGAGTATCCATTATGGTTGAGCATGCTAGTCTGTATCAAAATTGGTTAGGGTTGGAAAGATAAAAATCATTCTTTTCCAGAGAGGCCTGAACTAGAGTACATATCAAATACAAGTGGCTGAAGAGATTCATACCATAGCATATGAACTAAGAAAGCGCTTCATTTGTTGAGTTCTTCAACCATTATGATCAAGAATTAGCTTTTCCCCCATCAATGCAGAAACCGCGGATGTTTCACTTCTTCATCAGATTCAGCTAATGCAGCTCTTTCTTTCATCAAGAATGGCATTCAAGGCTATTGACAGGTCATGGACACTCAAAAAAATGTGATCCTACCTTATTATTCTACACCATCAAGTTCTTCCTGGTCCTCCAATTGAGCTTCTTCTTTGTTCATTTCTCCACCTCCTGTTTCATTATTTTCACCACTATGCTTGAAAAACAACCCAGTAGAGGAAACATCTTCATCAAGAGCCTCCTCGACTTCTTTGTCCTTTGATTTTGAGACTATTTCACCGTCCATCCATCTCGGACAATGGTGTGTAACTCCAAGAGCAGCCTCGACTTGTGCCTGAGCTGAAGGGCTTGAAGCATGCAAGGATGCTTCAGTAAGATCAGATCCTGAGCATGAACATTCAGGAACCGGATGAGAAAGAAAAGATAAAAGTTTTGATTTTGTGGAAGCTTCTACTACTCCATCAATTAAACTTCTCCTCAAATGCCTGCGCATGGATGTCAGCCAAGCATCATTTGCTTGATACAAGTGTTCACGGGTTTCGTCAAGAAGCTTGGCAATTTCCTTCCTGTCATAACAGAGCAAAACAATAGTCCAACATGATGTGAAAAAGGAAATTGGCACCTTTCACAAGGTTGAATTTATAGGTAACTTTGTAGAATACTACATCCATACGACCTCTATATGTTGAGTTCTTTGTCACACACTAAATGCTATACAGGACCACTATGTGGCCAAATCTCAGAGGTCAATTAGACCAAACAATTTATCATACTACTCAACATACAAAGGGAAAATTATTCCTTTAAGATAGGTTGGTTAAAAGCAAGAGATGACAGGGAAAAGGTACTCCTGTTAGGAGAAAATGCATGGTAAGCACCTTTCCACAGAGATATCTGATAATCCACTAGATAGATATACATCCATACTTGTGTGCTTGACAATTACCTGTCTGGTCTAAAGGTCTTAGACGAAGCTGATTGATAGAGCCTATGCCCCATCACCAAGCTGGCAAAATTTGGATGTCCTTTCCCATCACGATCAAATCCAGGAATAAACACATCAGCTTCAACACAAATCACATAGTCAATTGCATCCCATAGCAATTTGTGAGCATTAGTCCTCAATTCAATAACTGTACTCTCTGGCTCATTATCGCTCTCAGCAACCCAACCCCACCAACCTTCAATGTTATAAGATTTGGGTCGAGCTGGGGGAGGTGGAAGTGGACGAGGGCGTGGACCTGCATTTTTCCATGCTTCAAGCTTCTTTTCTTCCACAAAAGAAGGTGGGGACTCTGGATAATTGCCAACAAGGTTAACCTCACGGCCATAAATTCTACTAAGTTCCCATCCTGCACTGAGGGAAGTCCTATCAACAACATTTTGAAACATTGCATGAAGAGGAATTAAGGTTCTTTGGCCACCAAAAACTTCTCCACCAGAAACATAAATTATCGTGTCCCACGAGTATCCATATGCACAAAGAAGAATACCAACCTGTAGAACAAAGTGATTTAGATCAGTAGCACGCTAATAAGTTCTTTAAATATTCAGACCTTAAGATATAGCTACGCTTGTTAATGGATAGACTGAGCTGAACAACCGTTTTTCTATATGAGGGTCATCATCACAATTTTACACATCATGCAAACCTAGATTGCAATAACATGCAATAACATGCAATGGAATGAAATCTTGCCATTTTTCTATTTAGTGAATTTTGAAGAGAATCCTACTACATTCACTGATTAAATGATGGAAGCAGTCCCCAACATTTTAAATTATAAAGTGCCTCATCCTAAAGTCCTGAAAAATGAGGGTAAAAACCATGGAACTATGCTTCTTTACACCGTAGATATTTATTGCATGACAACTTAAGAAGCACTAATGTTTTATATGTGTGCAATGTCATACCAAAAAGAGCTAAAATACTAATAAGATTTTACCTCCTCTGGCATTAATGGACATGAACCGTTGCAGCGTTGTTCAACAGAATTTACAGAAAGTTTCCCTTTGATAATCCTACGTTTTAACATCCAGGCTCGTTTGTGCTGAATCAGTTCAGTGTGCACATCCTTTGGAAGAGCTCCAACACACAATTCACAATCAAACGCCAAGTAAGCTATGCAGTTAAAGCTTAATATGTTGACAAATCAAAGAACTAATCATGCCAATCTGAGTTTGGCACAGGTACCTGGAAGAGTTCAGCACAGCCGTAATATGCCAAAGCCTCTCTTGTCATCCCAGGATCAAAGGCTATAAACGGCTGGCCAGGAGCCCGTAACCTAAAATGTGAGAAATTTAGATAATAAGAGAGAACATGTGAAATTTAAATTGCAAAATATTATATTATGAATAGTCATTGACCTGTGCAAAATTTTAGTTGCAAGTTCCTGGACCTCTTGTCGGAACCGCAAGGCATGAAAAGCTACTCTACATCTCAGCCTTTGATATTCTTCAAGGTGAGGAGGAAGGATGGCCTATAGAAGCACCAGAAAAGATGGAAATATGTTTTAACCAGGTGATAATAAAGAATGATGGTATTAAACCAAGATTGAGAAAACACAATTGAAATCTCAAACAATAAGAAATTCAATAGTTCTTCACTTGGTGATATTTTCTACCAAGAAAATTCCTTTTTTGCAGGGAACAATAGGGATCGGACACATGACATATGCAGAAGACAAACATGAAGCCATCTTATGAATGCTGGGAAAAGTGAAGTTACGTAATATTGCACAAACATAATCATTGGCCAAGTGGTATCATGGGCCAGCTTTCACTTTGAACGTTATGTCCTGTGATCTTATTTTCACTCTTTATTTAGGGCTCCCATAGGCTAAATACATAGTGCAAGGACTTGAACTTTACATCCATAGTCCACGACGTTTAATCTCCAATCTCCTCAACACTTCAGACCTCATTTATGTAGAAGAATCCAAGAACTCATGTAAATATTGACCAGTAGGAGAGATCTAATAAAAAGTTTCATGACTTGCTAGATTCATTTTGGAAGGAAACAATATCAAATTGGTAGTTTAAAACCTTGAATGTACCTAGGTAAAACAAAAGGACACTTAATCAAGTTCAAGTTGTGCCTACCTGCAAGCATCCCCCTTCTGGAATCACCAGTTCAACCACTGAATGCTTATTAAGTACAGGAAGAACTTGATGCAAATAAAAATAGGGTGAAGCTGAATAAGCCACCCTGAATGATGGGATCTTCTTTTGTCTCCTTGCCCCTTTCAGATCTTTTGGAAGGGTTTTCACAATTTTTATATCTTTTACCAGTGCTGCCATGAACTGATCCTCATTGTAAAGGTATGCAAAACTTTTGAATTGAGAGCTGCAACAAACATATAAATAGCTATTTAATAATGAACGTCTAACAACTATATAATTTTGCTGCTGATTAATGTTTAATAAAACTGGATATTGCACCTACAAACAACAAATCACCTGATTCCTTTGCTGCTTGTAGTTGATTGGATCTCAGGAATAACTAAAGTAGCATTTAGAAGCCGAGCAACCACAACCACATCACATATCTAAAAAGTAGATAAGATATCTTTTCAACTATTAATTTTACAAATCTACTATCAAATCAAAAATATAAACTAGGCATGCTATCCTCACCGAATTCCTAATTTCATGGAAACCACCTTGTATCCTGACAAAGATATATCCATTTGATACTGGTTTGGGTTCTGTACATGTATATCAAAGTTAGGAGTATTCATAAAATGATTTTATCCTCTTAGTTGCAAGCATACATAGTTATATTTCCTTGGAAAAGCAGAAAAGAATATAAGAAACTTTTAAGTCTTAACAACTGCAATCTCCCATAAGATAGTAAATACTAAAACTCACATCAAGCATCAAGCATCAAGCATCAAGATTTGGATAACCACAAAGCCAGGATATATTTTATTCATTTCAAAGACAGCTTAACTTTATTAGGCATTTAGAGTTGGAACTCCATGGTTATTTATTCGATCAGGAGGAGTCATTGGCATATTTCAAATGTTACTTCAATGACCTCTGCAAGCTTCAAACAACAAATAAAAGTTGAACAAAACATATGGAATCCATCTCACGTTCACTTCTTCAATTGTTAATTTTAGTCTAGAACCCATTATTACTACAATTCCACTGCTTCATGAAGGCCTATGCAACTCCTGATAGGTGAGTAGAAATAAAACAAAATATAGAAAATGTTTTTGCAGGCAATAAACTACTGAGCACTAGAACCTAGTTTTTGTGGAAACAAGTTAAAAATGGGAACCTAGCTTAACATTGCCTTGAATTATGTGTTATTAAATCTTAATTCATAAGACCCATAAACCATGTAATCATGAACAAATATAATTTAGTAACTGGAGAAGTGGTTGAATATAAATCTGAATTACTCAAGTCCTCATAAGACGTAGATTTATAACACCAAGAAGGAGAGCTAACCAGCATAATGTCCTCTAGGATTCGCATCCGGATGCAGAGATTCAAAGCGCCTCACTGGACCCCATAATCTTCTATATAGTGGACTCTGCACACATATTGAACCTAGAACTATTACTATCCACCAAATGGACTACTAAACAAACACAAGAACACAGTTTCTGCAAATCAGAGATTATATACAAGGTACTACTATACCCAAAAAGAAAAAGAGAAAATAAATGGAAAAATACTAATAACCCAAAATCAATGCAGAAATTCAAAAACATATTCAAACTAAAGAAAACAGAAAAAAAAAAAAAAAGACCAAAAAGAAACATAAAAATTTAGCTAATTCAAGACAATAATAATAAAAAAAGAAATTAACTGGTTTTTATCGAATAACCCCTTTAGATCCACGCAAAACACAGGATAGCACAGATTAAGCTAAAACCAACATTCTAAAGGGGAAAAGACGGGACTGTTTCAATGATACTATTAAAGGAGTCGAATAAGGAACAGCCAACTAAAGCATCAACAGGATCCAAACATTTAAGCAATATAAAAACAAGAAGGGAATTTTAGAAGTACAGTTTTGTCTAATTCAGCATTCTCAAAGATGGGTCTCCAAGAAAAGATTGTGATCGAAGACTGGTACTCTGCAATGCCCTCCTCAGTAAATCTTGCTAGCAGAAAGTGTACAAAAAGAGAAAAAGCAGACAAAACTAACCCAACTAAACCAACCCATTTCAATTTAGACTTCATTACCATCTTTCCTTCTCCTTTCATTGAAACCGAGCACCACCACCACCACCACCCCTCTCTCTCTATCTATCTATCTAATACACATATACATACAAAAACAAAATAAATTAAGAAAAAAACACAACTTTCTCTCACTACGAGTCCCTCTATGACCTCTGTCTCCAAGCTTTTAACGATTTAGCAGGTCTGGAGCAGAGAAGAAGACAGAGGAGGAGTGGAATAGTGAAAGTCAAGAGTAACAGAGACAGAGAATAGAATTGACGCGTGTGAGATATATCTAGTAATACTAGAGAACTGTTTGAATTGGATATATCAGACAACGCTATGTTTTATAAGATCCTGTCAGATCTAACCATTACCATTTTAGGGAGCGTGCATCTCACGTGAGTAATAAATTGGGTCAATGTTAATGGTTTCCTCTGCATCGCTGAAAATGAAGCTGATAATAAACAGGGAAAAACAGAGAGGAAATTTTTCATTTCATTTGACCTCCTTTTATTTTTAATATACTATATATTATATTGAGTGTACTACAGAATTAATAGAGGTGAATCTTAAATAATTCACATAAAAATAATAAAAAAAGTACATTTTTCACTGATATTTCTTCTACTCCAAAGCCAAAAAAGCAACACTACAATTTCTACCCACTTTCCTTAAAATATCTGTCCACCTTCCTTGCTAGTTTTGAGTGGACATAGTAAAATGTAGCAACTCACACGTGACATGAGCCAGAAGTCCCCTGAAAGTCATTTTAATCTATGACAAGGATTTATTCGATAAAAATAACTATTTTGATATCTGTTAAATATTTTTATGAGCGTTTAGCTAAAATTTGTAAGATTTTAATTAAAAATTACCTAAAAATAATTTTTAACGTTGTATCTAAAAACTACCTAAAAAGCCTTTGTAAAAAGCATTTGCAGAACACCGTCTACATTAGAATAAGAGAGGGCACGTGGGTTTTTCTACGGTCAAATTATTCTTCTGGTGGCTTTTTGTAATTCGGTTAGGTGATTAGGTGAATAGAATCTGAAGAAGAGATTAAAAGTTTTGGTCTAGTACTAGTACAGTAAAAAAGGCAATGGCAATGTGAAACTGATGGGAATTGGGGAAAAAGACTAGCAATATGGGTCAAAAGAAAACTTCTTTTCCTTGTTGGATAGGCAAACGTCCTAAATGGGCAGTAAATGCAACTGGGTTTCCACAATTATTGCCTGTTTTTAACTTTTTATAGAGAAAGCTGCACCTGCAGCTGCAATTGCAGTTTCAATTTGCACGTTAGCCCAAAAAATTTCCACCCAACATCTTTATTGAAATAAATATAATTTAATTTAATTAATATAAATAGCCATTTTCTTAGGTTATCCTCCTCTCCAAGAAAAATTAATATTTTCTTCATTTAGTTGTGAGATTTTAATATAATCATTTTCGACTTAAAAGTTAGAAGAGATTCCTAAAAGAGAAATTTGAAAAATACTTTTAATAATTACCAAAAGTGCTAAAAATAATTAATTTTTCGTACCTAACTAATATACTTGTTGTAAAGTTGAGATTTGTCACGTATTTCCTTATATATTTAGTAAATATTCTCTAGATTTCAAAATATAAATCGTTTAAGATTTTTATAGAATAATTAAGAAAGCAATTAATTCTTCTAGATTATAACAAACTCAAAAGTAATTTGATTAAATTATTTTTTATCTCAAAACTGATAATTGTTTGTTAAAGTAATTATTGTATTTAGTGTAAATAAAAGCAACATTAGAAAAAATATCATTTATTATTTCTTAAAATACATAAATAATTTATATTCTGAGACAAAATAATAAACCAAAAACAACTTGTATTATTTTGGGATAGAGGAGTATTAGATCGTTTAAACTATAAAATCAATATAGGAAGTTCGTGTCAACCAACTAACTAAGTATAGTCTGATTGTTCTTATCACTTATATAAAAAGTGAGAGGTAACCCATTAATATTCTCTCACTAATTTAGTAACCTAATGAGAGGGCTATTCATGTTGTGTAAATCAGATATGTTATTTCAGCATGTTGAGTTCTTTTTAATAGTTTATATAGTGTTGAGGTTGAAATTATTTTTCTCAAAAAATATTATTTATACACAATTGAATAAATAATTTTAAAATGTCATTTAACCACCTTAAAAATTTCACAAATAAAATTTATGAAATTTATTTTAAAAATAAATTGTAATCGATATTTTCAATATATCTTTTTATTAGTGGAAATTTAGGGTTATTATATTGAATGCATATGGTTTAAGTACAATGGAAAATCTTGATTGCTTATTTATTTTTTTAATTTGCTTATTATTAAGAACCGATTAATCCAGTTCGCAGGTTAGTTACAATTAAAGCTCTTTACCATTTTTTATACGTATTTAGCAAGGATTGAATCTAAAAAATTTTTTACATGTCTAACCCGCATTATCAATTGAACCACAATCGATAAATTTAAAAGAAATTACTTTAATAATAGGGCCATGCGTGTTCTAACTTATATGAATTATGAAGTATATATTATTAAGAATAATGAGTGGACTTAGGACCACGATGATGGTGTGATCCAACCTTATGGTGGGATCATTATTCGATTGTACATGTGATGTGACCTAAAAAAACATATTCAATGGCACAACCTCACCTTTGTGTGACCAATCATTTTCCGTAGAATAAACTAAATACTTGTATTGATTTTACTTGTTATTGCTCAATCAATATATCTTAGCGTTTATCACTTAGGATTCAAAATTAATGACACGTAAAATGTTTTAAATATTTATTTTTATATTTATTTAATAATAAATTATTTTATGATTATTTATTGACTGAATTAAATTCTTTTAAATGTAATTGATTAATATAACGTTAGAGAATTAATAGCGTATTAAATAATAATTAATATAAATTTCAATGACACGTAATTTATGAATTTTAATATGAGCAATTATTATTTTATATTAAAAATTAATTTTTTTATTAAATTAAATTATGTTAAATATTGATGAATTATCTTATTAAAGTGTAATTGAATTAATATAACGTTAAGAGAATTAATAGCGTATTAAATAATAATTAATATAGAATTTCAATGGACACGTAATTTACTGAATTTTTAATATGAGCAATTTCAATTAATTTTTTATATTAAAAAATTAATTTTTTTTATTAAAATTAAAATTATTGTTTAAATATGAATTGATTAAGCTTATAGTGTTAGAAGAGATTTATAATATGATAAGTTTGATGTTTTTAATACAGCATTTTAATTATTTAAAAAATAATTTATTTATTCATGCGAATTTTATAGCAAACTTAATTTTTTTTTAAGTTAATCTCTAAAATAAATCAGATTTAATGAATTTTAACACCTTTTAAATTTACTTTTTTTTATTTCATCTCTATAAATTTCAGCATTTTTTAATATACCTTCTCGTTTATTTAAAATAAATTATTTATTCATGAATTTATAGCAAATTAATTTTTTTTAAGTTAATTCTAAAATAAATCAAATTAATGAATTTTAACACCTTTAATTTTACTTTTTTTTATTTATCTCTATAAATTTCAGCATTTTTAATCCATTCTCCTAACATATATCTATATATTAATTTTTACTCTAATGATTAAAAATTACGGCTATATACATATTTACTATTAATATTTTTTTAATAGTATAATAAAAGAAATTTCATTCAATTTTACTTTACTTATTTTTTTTAACTGTGCATAGTATACGGATATTACTAGTTCTTTTACTAAATCATAAAATGATAATTGAATTTGAATTTTTATGAGTAAATTTTTTATGTTTCAATTTATTTTAATAATTAAAGTCTTTATTGCTAGTATTATGGCCTTTATTAAGTTTGAAATGGGATATCATAACATTATTATTTTTAAATTACTGCAATTAAATTTATGTAATTTAGTTGAACACCATTTACTAATTATATTGATTAGTAGATCCTAAATAATAATTTGATTAGTAGAAAATATGATTAGTTTGAAAGAAATAACATATTTTAGTTAACATGTTGACAGTTTTTTCATAGATTGAAGAAGTGACTTCTCATTGAAATAAATTTAAAATTCAATAAATCAAAAAAAAAAAAAAAGGATTTGATTTGTAAATCCATTAATGGTTATTTATCCAACAAATATGATTTAATATGGGTGTAAATTCCTTACCATAAAATTAAAATCAATGGTTGAGATTCATAATTACCCATTTTCTCCAAAAATTTTTTATTTTATTTTCGCCAAAAAAAAATTAAACTTTTGATTTTTTTTTTAATTCTTAAGCTTAAAATAACAAATTTGCATTACTTATTAGTTTCGAACTATCTAATATTTATGTGCAGATCCATTTAAATTTTAATATCCTTTTCGAGACCTATTAATAATTTTAATTTCATAATGTCTCAAATTTATTTAATTATTATCCAAATACACTTTAAATCAATTGAAAAAATTTGCTTTGCTTCCATCACTTCTTTATTAGGTTGCATAAACAGCTAATTTTCTCAACTAGCCTGCTTTCATATGGGTTTCAAGAGTATTTTCCAAGCTTGATTCAATCAAATTTAACCAATGAATTCACTTTTTATCAAAGAAAAAGATAAGCTAAGAGTGAAATTATTACTATTAATTATTAATAAAATAAAAATTTAATTAATTTTAAATTTATAATTAAAGTGAAATTGCAATTAATCAAATAACAACTTAGTTAATTTAAATTTTCTACATTCAAAATGACCCCCTAATTTATATATTGGAACTTGGAACACTCATCTCATGCAATTACACGAGGAGCTGATATATGAAAACTTTAATTAACAATAAAAAAAGAAAAAAAAAATTAGTGTGATTGTTTTTTTACAAAAAATACAAAAAGTTGAGTTTCATAGGCATTTGCCGGCTTGCCAGGGGTAGATATTTGCCATAGCGCGGGTCCCTGACCAGTCTTCCGTGGCACGTTGTCCGAGCAGATAGCGTCATGATTACTTTTTTTACTAAATAATTTGTCCCAAAGAATAATAAATACAGTAAAAAAGAATTTTTAATTTTACTTTTAATTTATCTGCTAAAATCCTTCCTTACGCTTCTCCTGAAAGACAGTTAAACAATATCTCCCGAAGAGGTAGTGATGATAGAGAGAGAGAGAGCGCGAATAAATCAGGACATAGCCGCTGGTTCTTTTCCATTTCTTGCTGCATCTCATCTCAATCGTCCGTCTCCTCTACGGCGGTGGCTCTCCTAGCGTCTCCGCCGCCCGATTCCCCGATCTCTGGTGAGGTTCTTCTTGTATTCGATTCTGATTCAGTCGTTTCTCTGTTTGTATCCCAAGAAAAAATCGTAGGAAGAATTGACAACTAATTATTATCATTTGCCTCGTCGACAAAACTGTGAAGTGATCAATCTTGCACTTCTTCGAAAGCAGTTAACCTTTTTTCTTTTTCTTTTTTTTTTTTTTACTTTTTTGAGAAATTTATTCTTTTTGCATAGCATCAATTTTTTTTCCTCTTGAAAAGTCATATTTTTCAATAGAATTATATAAAAAAGCAAATTGAAAATAATTCTTGGATTATTATTGTTGTGATTAAATTATGTTAGTAGAATTTTACTCTAAATTTTGAAATTCATTTGCACAATTGATGAGATGATATTTCTTAATATATTTTTTTGACATGTAATTGTGAAAGCGAAAATTTTTTTTCAGAATGTGTGAAGAAGGGATTCTATCTGGGAGTTACTTATTGTTGATTAATTGGTTTAAGGGCTTATATTTCTATTATTATTCTTTTTTAGTAAGGGATATGACATGATATGATGATTTAGATAGTTTACTTAAGTTCTTTTAGAAGGGAAGTAATTTTGCATCTATATTCTTGATGTATATTTGTTATTTTCCCTGCACTTTTGCTTCCTTTACTTTTCATGTCACGTCACTCAGATGGGCTTAGGTGCTTAAGTTGAGACGAAGGTATGTCAGAAAAGTTGTAATTTTTCGGCTTTGCTTCCCCTTTCCTTTATTTATTTTAATATTGATATTTTCAGAAAGTTAAAAGCATATAGCTTCATGGGCATGATTGCCAACATGGATCGATATTTGGGAAGCCCCAGAACCAGATCAGCCATGTATACTAGATTTTAGATTTTTGCAGGTTGGTAACTTTTTTTTTTTTTTTTTTTTTGGGAAGCCCAGAACCAGATCAGCCATGTATACTAGATTTTAGATTTTTTTTGCAAGGTTTGGTAACTTTTTTTTTTTTTCTTTTTTTTTAATTTGATAAGGCACTGCCTAGTTTGAATAAATCCGTCTATGGATCATTTGGAAAGGATAATTCCTAATATAACCACGTAGGAATCTTTTTTTTTTTCAAATTGAAGTTTCAAGTGTCAATGATTGATTTCTTCTTTAGTCGCATTTCTGGCTTTTTTTTAGGGGCAAATTATGAAGCAGAACAAATAAATTTATGGTTTTAATTTAGAGCAGTGGCACCTTGCTTGCTTTATGCCTTTTGTTATGAAGTTTTAGTTTTCTTGTTAAATCTTCTGATGATCCAACTAATTCTTTCAAAATTTTGGGCAGAATTAGGCAGAATTGGTGCTTCGATGTTAAGCAGTTTCACTGAGTCCGTTGTTTTTTTGCTCGCAACCATTCCGATGTGCTTTTTTTTTTTTTTTTTTTTAATTGATAAGGCACTGCTAGTTTGAATAAATCCGTCTATGATCAATGGAAGGATATTCCCTATATAAACCACGTGATCTTTTTTTTCAATTGAAGTTTCAAGTGTTCAATGATTGATTTCTTCTTTAGTCATTTCTGGCTTTTTTTTAGGGCAAATATGAGCAGAAAAATATGTGATTTGGTTTTATTTAGAGCAGTGCCTTTTGCTTTATGCCTTTTGTTATGAGTTTTAGTTTCTTTGTTAAATCTTCTGATGATCAATATCTTTCAATTTGACAGAATTAGCAGATGGTGTCTTCGATGTAGCAGTTTCACTGAGTCTTTGTTTTTTTGCTGCAACCATTCCGATGTGATAACTGAAGAAGCAATTCAAGTTTCATATTTATTGATGATAGTGATGCTCAACGTGGTATTTTCCCCACGTTCACTGCTGGCATTTGAGATTGGCGTCTGCTTGAGAGAGAAGCTCTCTGCTACTGCCATCTCTGTTGCAAGCTCTGAGAACTATAGCTTCTCCTTTTCCTTCCATGTGTCCTGATTTAGACCACTCTGTACATTCAGATATGGCAGTTGCAACTTTTAGAGGAGCCCTTGCTGGTGAGTATTGCAGGAATAAGAAATTGGAAAGAAAACCTTCTGGAAGGAGGCGTGTATTTGTTCAGACTGAAACTGGCTTTGTTTTGGGTATAGAATTAGACAGGAGTGACAATGCCCATACTGTGAAGAGAAAATTACAGCTTGCCCTAAATGTCCCAACTGAAGAAAGTTCTTTGATTTTTGGAGATACGGTGTTAAAAAATGATCTCAGTACAGTTAGGAATGATTCTCCACTTCTTCTCACCAAGAATTTTATGCATAGAAGCTCTTCTACTCCATGTCTTTCACCTACAGGGAAGGATCTTCAGCAGAGCGACCAGAGTGGTCCAATTGAGATATTAGGATTTTCAGATCATTTTGCTGCAGTAAAAGAACTAGTAAAGGAAATTGTAAAGGCAATGAGAACTGGAGTTGATCCAAGTCCTATTCATAGTGGACTTGGAGGGGCATACTACTTCAAAAATTGCCATGGCGAAAATGTTGCTATTGTTAAGCCCACAGATGAGGAACCATATGCCCCTAATAATCCAAAAGGTTTTGTTGGCAATGCTCTGGGGCAGCCAGGTTTGAAACGTTCTGTCAGAGTTGGGGAAACAGGTTTCAGAGAAGTAGCGGCTTACCTTCTTGACTATGATCACTTTGCTAATGTGCCCTCAACTGCCCTTGTGAAGGTCACACACTCAATATTCAATGTTAATGATGGGGTGAAGGGAAATAAGCATCCACAAAGGAAGCAGGTTAGCAAGATTGCATCATTGCAGCAGTTTATACCTCATGATTTTGATGCCAGTGATCATGGGACTTCAAGCTTTCCAGTTGCTGCTGTCCATAGGATAGGGATATTAGATATACGGATATTGAACACGGACAGACATGCTGGGAACCTCCTGGTCAGGAAGCTTGATGGAATTGGGAGGTTTGGTCAGGTGGAGCTTGTTCCAATTGATCATGGCCTTTGCCTTCCAGAAAGCTTGGAGGATCCATATTTTGAGTGGATCTACTGGCCACAAGCGTCAATTCCTTTTTCTGAAGATGAGCTTGAGTATATTCATTGCCTTGACCCCTTTCAAGATTCTGATATGCTCCGAAGAGAGCTGCCCATGATTCGAGATGCGTGCCTCAGGGTGTTGGTTATTTGCACAGTTTTCCTTAAGGAAGCAGCATCATTTGGTCTCTGTCTTGCTGAGATTGGTGAGATGATGAGTAGGGAGTTTCGAGGACACGAGGAGGAGCCTAGTGAACTTGAGCTTATATGCATTCAGGCAAGGAGTCTGTTAATAGAGACAGAAAATCTTTCTTATGATGTGAAAACTGGAGATGCTGAGGAATTTCAGTTTGACATTGACTGTGATGAGGAGTTAAATGTGAATTTAAATGTGGGAGACAAATTGGAAATGAAACCTCTTTGTTCCAGGTCAAGAGGTGGAAATAGACAGCCACCTCTTTTCAAGCTGGTGGAGAGTATGGAGGAGGAAGAGGAGGAAGTTGAAGAAAGGGAAGGAAATGCATTAAATTTAAGCGTAGAAGAACATGCTGACCCCACACAGGACCGGGCTCCAACTGTTTCAAAGATGTCAACATTGTTGAGAAGTATTAGCATTGGTGAGACAAGTTGGCGGCATGAGGGTATGATGCAGAAAAGTGGGTATTTGGCTGGAACATCTTCTGGAAATAGGAGTGTGAATGAGCAGCTTCCTGCTAGCACTACTTTTGTGAATCTGGCTGATCTGACTGAACGGGAGTGGATGCAGTACCTTGATCATTTCCAGAAGTTGCTCTCCTCAGCATTTGCTGATCATAAATCAGGGAATGTTGGCCCAAGGCACAGACAGAGGCTTGGAACATCTTGCCAGTTTTGAGCTGTTTATCAATATATCTTGTAAATGTTGAAATGGAAATTAAAAAAATGTTGGAACCAGAGATTTGTAGGCAATTGATTTTGGTTTACAGGTCGTTCCTAAGGGGGACGGACTTGATTTATACGATATCAGAACTTTTGGATGGTAAAACATGGTCATCAGTGGCTGAATGTGAGGGCTAAGTTTTAATTCATCTATATGTAATCTCTCTCTTTTGTTTTCTTTTTTGGTTGAATTGCTCTATCGTTAATATTGAGAGCGTTGAACATAACATATAGGGAAGAATAAGACATGTATAGTCATGGTCGTCTTGTAGGAGGTGCAAGTGATACACAAGTTTCAACTTATTCTTAGGTTCTTGCTACGTGCTTCCTATTAAAGTAGAGATGAGAATGTAATGGCTGTATGCCTCTTTAGTATTCAGGTTCTAATGTGCGTTAGTATTGTGATTACCTTTGTAGATAGACTTGTATTAATATCAATAAAAACAATAATGTGAACATTTTGATGGCTCTATTTAGTAATTGTTATTATTATTGTTGTCGTTATTTGTTAATATTATTTAGTGATTTTTTAGTACATTTTCGCTTGATGATCTTCTAGGTCTGGTTTAAACAGGTTCTGTTTGTATATGAACCGAAAAATCTACTTTCTCTCTCTCCTTTCACAGAAGTGAGCCTGCACACACATGCACGCAAGTGCTTCTATGATTGCTGACATGTATGATTGTGCTGGAAGCTGGAATGAACAATTGCATGAAAAGAGAGCCATTTAGGCACAACACATGCTAGCAATAGCAAAAGTTAGCGTACTTGTAACTTGTAAGCAACAGCTCTTTTTTAGCAGAGTGCTATTATGCTGTAAAGGGCCGAGTTCTACAACAATATGGTGCAGCATCTGAAGTTATTAGAAAAAGAGAATGTGCTTTTCAAAAGTAAGACACCTGGGTTTAATATAATAGTATCTTGCGCATCATCTATTAAGTAACTAGAGTTTTAATATTTTCCTAATCAAGTGTAAGCTAGAAGTGAAAGACGAGTAGGTACGGGTTGGTTCTTTACTTCCTTTTTGTCCTTCATCCTGGTCATTCTTTGTCGCGTTGGATTTGGGTCGTGATTTAGATCAATAACTCCATCTTACACGTTTTTTGTTTGAACATTTGTTAATTATGATATGTGTATGTCCATATCATTGTCCTATTATCTGCTAGCACTTGTGCATTTGCTGTGATATGGCAAGGTACATGATTGAGTAGAGAACCAAAAAGGCCCAAGACATGTCTATCAGTGTAATGGTCGATGATAATGTTTGCTGGTTTTGCAGTCTTATCTGTGATCCTTTGTCGTTTTATTGATTTGGTTGGTCATAATTGCATTTATTGAAGAAAAGTTGTACAGCACCGAAAATGAAAATTGAAATTTGAAAAGCAGCATCAACCCTTTTGACCTGAAGCATATGTTTTTAGCTGCCACGGTCCTCATTAGTTGCCTGCTTCTTGCTAATTGCTAGTCATCTCTATGCTTGATTTTTTGATTATGTAATTTCTTCAAGGGAAAGGGAAGCTGATTGTTGAGGCTTTAAGGAGACGCTTGATTCACCGTAGAAAAATTGTGGTAGGATATTCATCAATGGCAATCTATGGTTTTGTTGTCGAGTGTTTTTTAGACTAAATACTCTTCTCCAGAGTGGTAGAAACAGCATTCAACTACTGCAGCTTCTGAACATTGAATCGTCGATCCATCTTTCGGATCAACTTAATTGTTACAATAAATGGTTCCTTTGTAGAAGCATTTGTATTTCTGTACTACTTGTTAGTAACCTTAAATTACTCGTTCCACAACATTCCCATCTATTCATTTGCCTAATTTGGGCATCACATTCTATGTGTTGATAGAAAATTAAGAGCAGAAGACAAAAGATTAAAGGAAGAAAACAAAACCAAACGTTATTAATTGTCCTCTTTTATACTGGTCATCATACTCAACTCAACCTGCTGATCCTCTATCTTGCTAACAGCTCTTGAAAAATCTCGACTAGCGAAAGACATGGTGTCATCCTTACTAAGGTGCCTTTGTTTTATCTTCAGTATTGCCTGTGAAACTTCTCCTATAGAAAGCCGCTTCCTTTGCGATTTGTGCAAGCATTTGTGAGCAACGGCAGCTAGTTCCCTAACTTCTCCAATGTTGCACTCTCCTGCTAGTTTCTCATCTAGTATTTCATCAACGCCATCGGGACTCATAGCAGCCTTTGTAGAAAAATAAAATGAAGGAGAAACGAAAGAGTATTCAGATCAGGCATCGGAAATTATTAAAAGAAATAGAATGTCACTCACAAGATTGATATATTCCATCAGGTTTTGCTGCGGGTGGATAGCGGTAATGAGTTCAAATATGATAATGCCAAAACTGTAGATGTCACTCTTCATGGTGAACTTGTTCGTAGTCATGTACACTGGGTCTATATAGCCATATGTGCCTTTCAGACCAGAATTGCGCCCATCGTAGGCCTCTTCCTTTGAAAGTCCAAAATCAGCAACCTAATAACAGGGTGCCAGAAGATATGTCTATAATAAAAAAAAAAGGATGTAAAAAACTCTCAAACCAAGCTTCCTTTTCTTTAATTTATTAATTGTCCCCATCATTTATGCTCTTGAAACTAAAACCTTAAAGGCTTAAATAGGATGAGTCGGTACAAATATAGTAGCTTACCTTAGCTCTCATTGATTGGTCCAACAGTATGTTGGCAGACTTCAAATCGCGATGTATGACGGGTGGGACTGCCTGCTCCAAGAAATGCTGGATAAATATACATCTATACGTGTATAGTAGTATTTCACAAGGGAACTATGAGAGCAATTTAGCCTACCCCTTCATGAAGATATTCAATTCCATGTGAAATATCTAGAGCAATTTGAAGCCTTTCTTCCCAACACAAAATTAGTTCACCATCTGGAAGCATTCACAACAACTTTTTCATTTTTAAAGGGATCAAAGTTGAGGGAAAAAGAATCTAAAACTAGCATCTTATAGTTGGTAAGAGTAAGTAATGATACTCCTAAGTGCAATCTATACATTTCCATGTGCAAATATCAATTTTCCAATGGTATTGGCAAATCAACAATATAGAATATCCAGATAGCCCTCATTTATGTGCACCAAATATCAACATATATAGGGTAGTTTGCACACAAGTGATGTAAACAATTTTGCCGTACTGCCATTATAAATTATCATTTCTTCCTGTTCAAGGGCATGGTTATATACCCAAAAAAGAAAAAATCTCAGCACTAAGTACCAACAAAGACTTGAGCATTATTTTTGGAATTTTTCAGTTTACTAAATAGTTATACCCATAAAGAGAAGTAAATTCCCAGGTGTCCAAAATGATTGTAAGTTACCAAGCAACAAAAATTTAGTTACAGATAATAAAATAACAATCAATGACCAGAGAGTTGCATGTCTACTAAGAGAAAGGTACAACAATTCAAATGAATAGGGCCTTTGAACTTACTATATAAAATGTTTGCCAGACTGCCATTACTCATGAACTCATATATCAGCATGCGCTGTCCTTTATCAACACTATATCCTAGCAAATTCACAAGATTCCGGTGATGAAGCCTTCCCAGTAGAGATACCTGCAAAAGTACCAGGCTAAAAAGTGAATCTCAAGATGCTTTCTTTGAAATGCAGATAATAATGAATGTGATTTAAGTTCACAGGGAGTTTAATAATAACAAAAGAAACAATGGGAATACACAAATGAAGATAGGTACAAATTGTCTATTGAACCTTTGTTTATGTCTAGAGTTCCTCATTGTCCTAAATCTACATAGTATTCCTGACAAAGAATTCCCCCTACAATTAACCTACTGATCACATGCATGAATGCAACAATTTCAGTAGTTTCTATGAAAGAGCGATAGACCATCTATCCCCCACCAATGCTTTTGCCACTAGATTTTTTCTAATAATGGCTTGAAATGTTACATATATGACTCAAAGAGTTACTCTCCAATTTGTCAAAGTAAAATGTAAACAATCTGCATGGTTAAGAGATGCTGCAAAAACATTCCATTCCTAACTATATTCTGCAAGGGAACAGGAACTTTGATCCTCTAATATATAGTGCCAGATTTATTAATCTAGCTCATACCTCCGTTTGAAACTCTTTCTCCCCCTGCTTTGAATTAGAAGCAAGAACCTTGACAGCTACCACTCCACCAGGCATCACAGCTTTATATACAGGACCAAATGAACCTTGACCCAGAATAGTTGTAAAATTTTGTGTAGCTTTCTGAATATCTCTGAAGAAGAAAATTAGTAACTTCTAAGAAAATACTAAATGCATTACAAATTGGAAAAAAATTACTCCAACACTCTACATGCAATATTTTTAGCCTGGGAAAGTTGGAGGGGTAAATGCCCCAGACTCTGAATTCAAGTCTCTTCTAAAACCACAGGTCACTACCTTTTTCACAACATCCCTCTGATTATTAGCACTGATGACAAAAAGAAACAAATCGAGAAGTATCTAAAACAGTGACTTTAGAATTAGATGCACCAGCAGCATATGTTATAATTTTGAAAGTGATACCATCAATAGAAAGTCAGTGTAAAATGAATCAGACACAGCTCTCATTCTTAGGGCATTCCTTTTCTCCCTTAGTTACTAACTAGATGCTAATCAACAAAATCAAGGGTGGAAATGAAAGGGAGACAATGATCAGAATAGCCAACTGCTAGTTTCAAGGTCACCAGCTTCCTTTTTCTACCACTTATCATTTGTCAACCACTGGAGCAATTATAATAACCAACTGCTAGATTGATTATGAAACCAATCTCCTAAGGAATAGCAATCTACTATAAGTACTTCATTTTTCAATTGGCTTTTGTGTATCCTTTGATGTTTGGCAACATAATACATAAAGCAGATTGCATAGCTTCTAAAACCCTTTGGAGATTTTTTACCCCAGCAGCCGCTAGCACACAAGCTAACAAAAGATAACCAATTCTAATTTCTAAGACAAAGATTTCAGAGTTCTTGCAGATTTTATGCACACCAGAATCAATATTGTCATGAGTTGTAATTAATATCAAATGAAAATAAAAGAAATATATGGGATTGAGCTCTATTTCCCCTAGGAATATTTTTTTAGTTTTTATCACCCATGGATGGCTTTCGAACAAGAAGTATATTTGAAAATATACCTGATGAAATAAGTAATATAATAATATGAACCAAACTTGTACATATAACAAAAACAAAATTTGCTTACATACAAACGTACATACTTGTAAGAATATCTAAGTATGCCTGATGCAGTTGTAAACCGATCTTTGCTATGATTACTCCACCAAAAAAACTGAGAACTTCTCCGAGGTGGTTCTGATCCCTTGATGGTCATGGAATTAGCAAGTGATGCACTAAAGTCAGTGCTCGTCCCCATGCCATTCACACGTATTGGAAGAGTTGTAAGACTTCGCTCATTTACACACTGTCGGAGATGGGCGTGGTTCTTATACCATTTTATGCCAAAAAATACCAGCAAAGCTATCAAGATACCAAAGGCCAAACCAACAGAGACTGCAATAATAACCAAATCAGTTTGATGAACCATTCTTTGGTCTCTTTTGGAACTTGGATGTTGAAAGCATTTTGTTAGTCAACTAGGTCATGAAGAAAGAATGGGCTGTATGACATAAATCTTGGTTGAGACATCCTGCAGGTTCACAAACTGTCATGACTCATGAATCAAAACATTATGTTTAACTTCAAAGAATTTTCCAGAAAGAAAAAACATATTTCTACATTTTCCTGCAGCTTCAAAAGATATGCAAACCAATAAGATAGTAATACAAGCGTCTGAAAGCTCATAACATGCGAGTCTATTGCTATATGCAAGAAACTAAGAAACAGCATGTGATTAACAGACCCTTGTAAGATTAGACTATGTTTTCAAGCAAAAAGAATATAAGGTTCTCTAATTAAGAACAACCCATCAAGTAATCAGATTAATACAATAAACCAGAAGTTAAAAAGGGTTGGAGAGATAGAGTCCAACAATAAATTCATTATATAATAATTGCTATTCACTAATGTAAGCCTTGCAAGTTAGAAGACGGACAATTTGGGAAATGAGGCAAATTTCTGCTGTAATATTCTCAAACCAGGAAATCACAGCTGAATCTAAAGGAGGTGGTCTTTACAAGACTAGACAAAAGATAACCAAGACAAAGGATCAGACAACTTGAGATCAAATACGATTCTCGCATTATTATCAAATACAACTGTTGACAAGAATACTCTTTATTTACAAGACATATTTATCCATGAAATTCAAAATCAAATTGAAAACAACTTTCATATTCACATACTTCAACAAGATTTCTAATACCTACAAAACACCATCTTCAACACTTTTACATTGATAATCACAACTACCAAGTCAACAACATAACAACCAACAAAAGACATCACCACCCAAAAAAGAAAACACACCGGATACCCAACAAAGTAACAAGAACCCAAAAACCAAAACCAATCCAAAAGCACAGTTAAGCAAAACTTATCTAATACAGAAACATTGACAAGTACCACATACATCAAAGACCAGCGATCAGCATCTTTGTACACCTCACATAGCTTTTTAGTTTTCAATTATCTATAGATAGACAGAGAAGAAAGAGAGAGAAACTGAAGAATTGAATTGGACTGGGAATCGTATTTAGGAAGCTGAATTAAAAGGGAAAGCGAGTGAAAAGAAAGGAAAGGAATGTTTTTGAGTTGGGTTGGGTCTCTCAAAGACTAAAACGCAAAAACTCAGCCGGTTCAGTGACAGTGGAGAATCAAACTATTTTTCTGTTCTTTAACGGTCTTGTCTTGGGTATTTCTTTCGGGGTCAAAACATGTGCTTAGACGTTTCCGCCTCTGTTCTTTTTCACTGCTTTCATTTTTTTTTGGTCTTTGATTACATTTCACTCGTACATTAAATTATTTATTTTAATTATTATAATTTATTTATTAAATAATATTAAGGATTTTTATTATTCATTCCGTCCTAATACAAGAATGTTTCCAATTTCGTATAGATTAAAAAAAATTAATGAATATAATTTGAATAATAAATTTTAAAAATAAAAAATTATTTATTACAAGGTATATTAAATAAGATGTATTAGAAAATTAAAATAAATTAGGTTTCTAATTTTATTATTATCTTTTTATTCAAAACTAATTAATTTGGAATTACTCTCGACTAAAATTCCAAATTATTGTTATGATAATAATTACTAATTAAGACAATTTAATTTTTGATAATTGATAGGTCCCATTTAGGAAAAAGAAAAAGAATTGTCATATTTTTGAGTTCAACATGTCAAGTGGAGCCTTTACAATTGACTTGTATTATGCTAATAATATATTTTTTTTCCTTATCATGACAAGTGAGCATCGTAATAAACTTCTCTATTATTCTTATTTTTTAAGTTTATTTGTCCAAATTGTCAAAAAAAAAAAAAATTTCACTACAAATAAAAAAAAAATCCTTTTAATTTACTAAAAACAATTTGATTCTTATTATTTCACATTTAATAAATTTAAAATTTAAAATTTAAATTCATTACTAAATTTAAAGTTGTTAGTTTTAAAGTAATATGAAAGTCAAAGTATATATATTAAAATAAAACTCGTAAAATATTTTATAATTAGCTTAAAAGTTAATGAGACAGAAGCTATGAAAATTGGACTCCTATCTTAGATGGTAATTTTTTTATATGAAGAATTGGATTATATATTTCACGATATTATTTTAAATAATTTAATCTCTAATGAATTGAAAAAAAAAATTTGTAAATTCTTTTTCTAGAAACATAATCATGTTTTGTTTCATTAGCAAATAAAATCTTAACGTTTATAACCATAAATCGTGTATTTAGATCTAATTTATAGTGTGATAATATTTACATGGAAAAATTACAGTACGGTCATTGTTGTTTGTGAAATATAATTAGTACATCTTTGTTTTTTTTTAAATAAATAATTTGTCTTTATATTTTGCTCCTGTTACGCTACTAGGTCCTTCAGTCTAATTTTTACATTTTTTCTGTTAAGTCAACGAGAAAACATAGAGGTCAAATGAGAGATACTAAAATATTATACCAGAAAAATTATAGTGCAGTTTTTATGGTTTTAAAAATACAACTAGTTTGTCCCTGTGTTTTAAAAAATAAAAGAGTGTTTTGGTCATTTCATAAGGTATTTAATGGAAAAGATGTAAAAATTGGACGAAAGGACCTTATAATAATATGGAAGTAAGCTATAAAAATATTTTAGTCTATTTCCTAAAAAATAGGGACGGACTAGTTATATTTCATAAATTATAGGAATCGTACTGTAATTTTCTTTATCCACACATTCATATCAACATATAAATTCTTTTTATTTCTTGATATGTTTAATGAGTCAAAATAACATTATGACTACATAAACAGATGCACTCATCAAATCGATGAAAATTCTTATAGCCAAGACTGAGAGAATTTAAATGTGATATATCTCACTCTTCACATAAGCGAGATGACTAACTAATATTAATATAACAATTCTATTTTTATATTTTCAAACCACTAATGAGTTTCATCATATAATTTTATCGAAAGAAAAGATAACGAAGGCAAAATTGATTTGTATAATATGATATTTATATATTCTTAAAGGATAAATTAAAAGATATCCTCAAATAAAAATCACAAAATACCTAATTAGCCTGCTGCTTTGTTTGTGTCTGTTCTAAGTATAAATTTTTCATCACATTCAACAAAAAAAAAAACACAAAGCATGTGAAACTTGGGCCGGATAACGTAATCCGGCTCACACAATGACACATAAAATAAAGCAATGGTAGATTTTTACATAGGAAGAATGCAGGCCGGTCTATTATTTTATTTTTCAAATTTTCAAAATACAATTATGTAATTCACGTCCAAATATTACTATTATTGCATCGCTCCATTGAATTTGAATTTATTTGACTCGTTAAATATATAATTTTAAATAAATTATTATTTTTAAAATTTGCAGTAGGTGATTTTTGCAGGTAAAATTTACTGGAGAACTTCCGTTAATCTAACGGTTTATCGATTTTAATGAAATTATATTAAATATAATTATGCTATGTGAATGAGTAACAACTAAAAAAAAAAAAAAACAATTCAAACGACAGCACCAAACATGAAGCTGCTTCCAAAATAAAATGTAATAATATCACAGAACCAGTCTAAAATAACATTAAAAAAAAACAAACTAATGTTAATTATAAAGTACACTTAATGTACAAAAACTTATATGTTTCTACATCTAAGTGTGATACATGTTAGAACAAAAAAGAAAGAACAAACAACACTAAAGGGGGCAAAATTGTATCCTACGTGGGTTAACTAAGTGACTTCACTTAATTCCCTATTGGGATAAAGGGGGCAAAATTGTGAATAGTCAAAAACCCATATCTATTATCTAGCTAATTAGGGTTTAATTTACTAATTAATTAAGTTTTTATACTACACATTTTTTATTAATTAATGAATAGGCACATGATTGTTGATTGGTGGCTTCCGGCGAGGCCTATCCATTCCTTTATAATCTTTGTTCATTAGGTTCACAATCTCTTTAGTTGCCTCAAGAAGCCTTTGTGTTTCTTCAACTTTATTAGGCTTTTCTTGATTTTCAGATCTTTCCAAGCTGGCTTTGGTTGGCAATTTCTTGGATTCTTGATTAGATTGTTTTTTAGGATTTCTGTTTGAAAGATTGACTTCTGCCTCTGTGCTCCTTGGACTTCCCAATCTGCCAGATTTTTCTGTCTTTCTCTTCCAAGTTTTCATTTTTTTCTGGTTTTAAAAAAAACATTGTTAATCATGTTGAATTGAATACATGAATTAATAATTTGACAATCGAATATCCGTCTGATAATAAAAAATTCAAACACTAACTCTGAATCAATAATTTTAATTATTAATTTATACTCGAAAAGAGAAGCCAGAACATAAATAAAAATTCAATAAAAAATTTTTTCAATGTCAAATTATACCTGATGATTCAAATATTGGTCCTGTGATCCTTCAAGAGACCTCTCTGCTAAAGCATTATTCTGTTCATCTGCATAGATATACAAATAACAAATTCTCCAAAAAATGAATAATTACCATATATACTCATATTCTCACATGCCACTTCCTACAATTTTTGGGTACAAAACCTTAAAACATGTAAGAAATTTCACATGCATGGACATAAATTTATATAACAGTGAATATTTTCTATTGCAATAAATACAAGTAAAAGCAAAAATTGGATTAGATTCCCTGAATTAAGCTTCAAAATTGTACACTACACATATATATACAAGTAGTAGAATATATATATAGCTACACATGATTTTAGTGTACTTTAGCAGACAAATGGGATCTTATGAATATCAAGAATCAGTTATGGTTAGGAGAATGGTGTTTAGGTCCATGATAATCTTCACCAAAAGCTACAAAACCCTTTTGAGGATTAATACTACTTCTCTCTTTAAATTTACATTGTTCACTAAAATTTCTCTCTACTACTTCAACTTTGTTACATTTGGTATCAGAGCAGTTTGCACCTGAATTAGCTTCTCCATGAAAACCTCGCCCTTTCTGACCCTGTGTTTCTCTCCTCAACTCTACTTCATGAACCGCCATTTTCTTTCCTCCAAGCCCTAATTTTCTCGTTTTGGTGATGGTGAAACCATGATCAACAAGTTCCTGTGCATAAAAGTATGCTCAACATAATAAAATGAGATAACCAATAAGCTATAACTCATGCGCTAGTTACTGAAGACATTTTCAGGACTGTGAAATACTATTTTGAACTCCAATCAAAAATTTTTTAGCAAAATAAATAATAAATGTCGGGCTTTAGGAGAAGATTAATCATCCGAAAAATAGCAAAGATTATGAAATAAGCAAATATATATACCTTTTGAAGCACAAGAAGCTTATCTTTATCCATTTCCCAATCTACAGAATGAGGTAAAAACAAAAATGAAATTTCTTGTTAAATGAATGGAAAGAAAGATTATATATAGATAGATGTACATACCTTGAAGATGAGCATGGGCACAAGAGTAGTCTTTAAGAGCATTGAGAAGAAAGAGCAGGCCTAGCACTAAGCTTATAAACCTTATGTACACCATATTCCTTTTCCTTGGTTAGTATGGTTTGTGTTTTTCATGAAATGAAAAGAGAGAGGAAAGTTGGAACACATAAAGTGGGGTTTTATAGAGTTTTTGGTTTTTCAAACCCAAGTCAAAGCTAGGGTTCCGACATTTCCCTACCTAACAAATAAAATTAATATATTACTCCTGACTACATGCAGAACTAGGAAAACTCAATATTAATTTTTTAACAAAATAAAATAAAATAAAAAAGAACTACCTTATGCTTTCAAATAGGTATGGCCACCGGTTCGGTTCTAACTGGAACCGAACCGTATTGTAGACGAACCGAAATTGGACTGGAACCTGCGGTTCAAAGGTCGATTAAGGTTCATGTGAATTTTTAAAATATGAACCGAAACAGGCGGTTAACCGGCGGTTCCAATCCCGTTCGAACCGGATGCACAAAAAAATTGTAGTTTAAAATTTTTATAAAAAAATTTATATCACTTGATTTGATTGCAGTTGATTTGATTTATGGTGAAGAGAAGTACAATGATACATAAGTTATAAGAAGTAGTGAAAAAAATAAACATTTTTTTACTTAATTTATACAAAAAAATGGTACATGAATAGTTGATTTATAAAAAAAAAAAAAAAACTTTCAAGGGAAAACCAATAAACATTTTTTAACTTAATTTATACAAAAAAATGGTCATAATAGTTGATTTATAAAAAAAAAAAAAACTTTCAAATGTATAAAAAAAGAGTGAACGAATGAGTTTTTATATATATAATGTTTTTTATTTTATTTTTTTGGTAAATAAATTTTTATTCTGATTTTTTAATCATTTATTTTATCTTATTTAACTATAGATTACTAAATATCGCAAAAATATACCTTGCTATTTTCTGTTATAGGGACCAATTTGGGGAAACTAATAAATGAAGAACGTGTATAAATATGATGAGTTTGATGATTTTTAATTTCACAATCAATTAATATCATAACTTTTGCTTTATTTCTCAATCAAAATTCTCTTCAAATGTTGTTCATATTTTGCATTATTTTTTTCTCTGCTTTAATTTTCTTAATATGTTGAATTTATCTATTGTTTTATTTTTTAACTTTCTTACTATCCAGATTCAAAGTTCTTTCTTAATTCGAATTTTTCTTATTCGATAAATGTTACTTCATTGATTTTTTTTAATAATTTTCTTAGTATTTGGAAAATATAATTTTCCAACTCATTCAAATTAAGTTTTATATTCCCATTTATAGTTTTTTGTATATAGTGGAATTAGCAAGAATTTGTAAATTTAATGTAATATATAGTTCTATAGTTAGTTAATATAAGTTTTTGTTTTAAACACTTTATATATAATTTATCTTAGTTAATAAAATTTTAACAAACATTTTAAAAATTAATTATTTATTTAGAATCGGGTAAGTCAAAATTTTAGTTTATTTTTTTAAAAAATTTGCGTAATGCCGAGAACCAAATCGGAACCGTAATTCGAACCGTCTGGTTCTCCGAAACCTGTGGCCAGAACCGGAACCGGAAGAATTAAGGGTCGGTTCGGTTCAAAATTTTAAACATCTCGAACCGCGGTTCGACATGAACCGGCCATATCTAACTTTCAAAAGGCTTGAATGGTAGTACAATCTAGGTTAATTCATGAAATAAAATTAGAAAAATGAGTGAAATAATTTGATTTTTTTTAAAAAAGAAAAAGAATTTTTGAATTTTACGTAAATCTTTAATGATAATTAATATAAAAAATACTTCAATTTTTTAATTTTGTAAATATCTGTTAAGTAATAAACTTTTAATTTATAACTCTTCATTTTTAGCCTTATTCTTGTTTCATCTTTCAAAGGACAAAAAGTCGATTAACTATGATCATTCTAGCATGAATATAATAAAATACAATATCTTTTTAAGTATAGACACTTATTTACTCGCTAATTAGGCGCTGTATAACGAGATACATGCTCCGAACCGAGTTTTGGGTGAGCTCGAGTTGGCTCGACTAAAGGATATACTTTGTCACGACCCGTTTTCCGTGGGGCCGGAAACGGCACTATGGCCCAAGGTAAGCTTAAAGGGCCTCCCAGGAGGCCCGTAGTAAGCCTGAAATCGCTATGAATTCTATTATCTTCGATGAAAAATTTCAAACATTCAAGCCCATATGAATATGAAAAGATAAACCTCAATATTTTATTAAATCCGGCCCAAATATAACCTACAACATTCCACAGTTCGGCTAATTAACAATGCATCACATTTATAATAATGGGTTCCACATAATTATCTCATCTATAATAATAAATGATTAAAAAGTATCAACAAATCCTACAACTGCGGAGTCACTAACTGTTAGTATACATATACAAAATAATTATGGAATTAGGAAATAATTCTTTATTGCCACTTACGCCGAAGAAAATAGCCTAAATCCGATTAAAGGGGTAAAAAACCTATTCCTGAAAAATCAACAAGAAGAACATGTGAGTTTTCTAAGAATATGAATATTGCACAACACACGCAGTCACACAAGATGTGTACACATATTGAACTAGTCATCCGACTAGTTATAATCCTTCACAGCAGCTCAGTCACACAAAATGGCAATATCACCAGCACTCAAATCATAAACATCTTCATATAACACATCACGTGAAAATTAAGTCCAGTGGCGCCCACCTGAACCCCAACGAGCCGTCCTCAACACATGGTGTCGCCGCTCATTACATGTGCACCAGGGAAGCCCGATCCCCATAATCGGCCAAGCTGGTCTAGATCCTCGACTGAACCTAGTCCTCTCATTGTATTCCAATTCTCTCTTTTCCTTTTCCATACCTAACAGGAGGCAACCCGCGTGGTCTCCATCCAATCTAGATCATCCAAGTAATCACAGATCAGAGGCCACCCTGCGGGCTAACGAATGCAAAATCTAGATTAATCAGGTGGCGCTAACATACAAGAAGCTCATCCTGTGCGTTTTCCACATAATCCAATTCATCAGGTGCAACAGGGGGCCGCCGATCTCCCATTTTCCCGGCCGACGGTCAAATATCATATAATATTCGGATCCCATATCACAGACGCGTCCCTCATCAAACCCACGGTGTCCACTCATCACCCAATTCCAGCACAATACAAAGCATAGCATTATCCAACACAATTAATCAAATAACATTGCAATCAAATGCAGACATATAGATCCAATTAAACATCGTAATGCAATGCACAATTTAAACATCCAAAATCAATGCAAATAAATTAAATAAATAGTATTAAACAATAATAAAATAAATAAATAAATATGTAAATAATTAAATGAGGGTAATAAAGATAATAAATAATCCAGAGCACTCTATTATTATGTAACCAAGTTATAGAAATTAATCTTAAATGAACTTTATGTAATAATGGGTCATTCATTAAGAACTAGTCGGTTATTGAAATTTGCTGCAGCATCCTCCCTAAAAATTGGTGACTATGCTACCTGCTCAAAATATCACAATATTACTATATATCTTTCAAATCCATGCACACAGCCCATCGCCGGGCAAATCCATCAATTTAAAATCCCATCCTCCTTTCCACAAAATTAAACAATGTCAACGACTCAACCATCAATTTACAACTTACAGATAACCTCCAATTAATGTTCCAAATGATAATACCAATGCATTCTTTTAACTTCATTATAATTATTAGCTTCTATAAGTGTAGATGTGCCAACTATATGAAAAAGCTTTAATATCATATATAATTATATAAACCGAATAAAAACTTGCTATCATTAAGTTAATTTCAATTACTTTTCATTTGGAAATAGTTTCGTCCAGTGTCTACTATTATACGTACTCTTTATCAAACTCTCATTTCTTGACATCCTTGCTTAAAGATAACAAACCAATATTATATCTTATTAAATTTTAAACTTAGCCACTAAGAACAATATGCTCCAATAAAAACTAACATTTAATGGATACATCTAATTAAGAAACCAATTTTACGAACTTTAAGGATATAACCAACTAACTAATTCTAGCAAGAATTAAATCCTACTACTATAAAAATTCCATATAAAGCAATAATTCTATATAAGATGATTTGAAAAATAACTGCAGCCACTGTGCCCAAGTTTCTCATTCTTATCAAACTTGTCATGTCGAACCTCTAACATTCCACACCAAGTAATGAAGAGCGCATTTATTCTGAACAATATAAACTTGGTTCAAGCAAGAAAATCCAATGATTTTCCCTCCTAACTAGAAAGTTGCTCAATATATCAAAGAAAATCTTAAGTTATTGATAAAATTCATGCATTATCAATGTATAACCCATTTCCCCTTACAGAACTTAATTTAATAACTTCGTTTGCATTATAGTCACAATGACAAGTTATTCTCAGCTATGAATAGTTAAAATAGCAGCTGCATTTCAGGTTTATCAATTCTTTCTACCAAAAAATATGCATTAAACTAAAATAACTTTATTCATCTTGTGAATAAGGAATTTCAGTTTATATAATCAATTTAAAGAGTGAAATATCAAATGCTCTAATTATTCACAGACTCAAAGTAGCAAATTTTAGGGATTTATACTCTACCCCAACTTGATTCATGGCATAAAATTATGACTCTTGTTCAACAATTCACTTAAGATGTATCAAAGAAGGTTGAAATGCGACTTTAAGCTCCCAGACTGAAAAACGCACTAGTAAGACTGAAATTTCCCCGTTAAAAGTGGACCGGAAGCAGCTCCCTTTGCTAAAAAACCATTTATATCGAGTGCTGTAGCTTCGATTGGAAGTGAAGGGCAACAATGGCTGAAGTGAGTTGCACACCGCTAAGGGCAATGCGTCGGAAAAACGAAGAAACAAGGGCGGTTGAGCTTACTGTCTCGATGGAAGCATAAAACCGCTAGTTCCTTGCGTCACTGTGCCAACCGGAACGGGAAGAAGATGCGAGGCGCTGCTGCAGTGAAGGTAGCGCGACAAAACGAGGGCGATGGTCCTCGTAGTGGTCGGAAAAAGAAAAAGCAAAAAAAAAGAGAGGGGGAAGGCTG